GCAGCACATGCACATGTGAATACTTAGCCGTCAAACATCTCAAAAAAGCAAGTGTTGCAAAACTGTCAGTTCCCGTGGTGAGGCCCGGCGGCCGTTGTGGCAGTTAATTCGGTGGATGTGGAGGTGACTTCCAGTGGAGTTCCTGTGAAAGGTGGTGAGGTCAGTTACTGCTTGCACGATGAGACAGCGCCCCAATGATGGGGATCACACTCAGCACCCGAGTGGGACGGCTGAGCGAAACACACTCTGACAATTGTATTCAGTTAACTATAGTTAACTCAGTTCCCCAAGGAAAGGAATGGCTCAACGGTGACGCGAGGAGTCCGATCAATTGTAGATGTTTGAACAAGTGGTTTGTGCGCATCTGCAGACTCGCGACAGCAGCGGACGAAACGGCGGCGCAGCTGCTGGAGAAGAGTAGGTTTGGGGGAAGTATCGTGAACCACCATGGAAACAAAACAGGGAATTGGACAGCTTGTGCAAAAGTTGTGTGGCAGGTACACACCAAAGCGTCCTTTGGTGCTTCCCCTCCAGCGACTTAGCTTCGTTGGGCAAGGTTCGTCGCCGGAGGCCTCGCCCCCCTGCATTCAAAACTCTTAGTTACAGAGGTTAGAGGTGGAACCCTTAGATACAGGGGGTGACACACACACACCATATACCGTAAATACAAAAATTTATTCGGTGGTGTCACTGGTGTCACCCTCCAATGTTTTCTCTACCCGTCCCACAGCAGGACTACCTTCAGAGCATCGCTTTGGAGAAGACCCTTGTGGCAGCGGCCGAGGGGCTCAAGACGTCGCCAGACGCGCGCGGCGGCTTCGACCAGATGGCCATCGACTGCATCGCTCAGGAGACACGTGATGATATATGGGATGATACGAGCGATCCAAGTAACGGGGACAGGGAAACCCAAAGAACCTACTTAAAGGGTACAGGTACATGGGATTCTAGTTCCCTATTTCCTAGTCCTAGTACATTGGATACATGTTGTTTCTAGTTCAGGGATGCCGCTACAGTTGGGCCAGTTGGGTCGCAGAAGGTTCTCACTGATCTTTGGACCAAGGCCGATGTGGAGAGAAGCGAGCGTTCCAGAGCTTATGGCAGTTGCGGCCACGGTTGTCCACTATCTCGAATGTCATAATCATGTAATATGCCCGCCACTGCCTGGGGTATCAAATGGGTCAATCCTTGGTAAATCAAACTGTGAATTCATTGGTCTCTTTATTTTCATAGGAGATTTGCAGTATTGTGCACTTTTGAGGGAAATCATAAATCACTTCAACAGACCTATTTTGTAGCCCAAAGTGGCAGGAGCTGGGCGAAAAAATGAAGGCTTTGGAGGACGGGCGTGCGAAACGTGTCCTTGTGGCCAACCGACGTTTGGGATCTATACAGTCTATACATGATCACACGAAAGTGGATGCTTGCATTTGAAGGAAGGCCCAGGTTGACAAGCTTCAACAGGCACTTGCAAGTTCAAACTACTTGTTCACATGGCTCAACTGGAGTTTTTGTCCAGACCTTCCGAAGGGTCAGAGCAGGAGCAGCTGCTGCATCGAGCACCGGCAGAGAGGCAGCTTGAAGCCTCACTTTTGGGGCTGCAAGCGCTCGCTGATGTTTGCGACTTGTTCAGAAGTGGGGAACCAACTTGCTGTTCCACCCCGCACTAGGCGAGCAGGCGTTTTTTCTTTCAAGCCCCATTGGTTGGCCGAGAGCATAGTTATTGTCCACGCCATTTTGAGCTCAAACTTTGTTTTTTTTGCAGTCAGCTGGACCAAACTGGCACCATCGGAAATCAGTTCTCCTCCAATTGGTAAGCCTTATCCACTGAAATCCCGGAAATGGACACAAGCTGCGCACAAAGACCTGGTCTTTTGCCCAGCAGCAACCCTAGACCAATCTAGAAATCCCAAAGAAACGGACTTGAACGGTGGAGGTGCTTTCTGCATTTCACAAAGACTTTTGGGGGTCGTACTTCCACAAGCACGACCACGGTCAGAGCTTTTCTTCCGTGGTTTGCGCACCAAAACGCGTCTGAATATAGCAACAAGAGTAGCAACAAGTTGCAAAACTTTGACCTGGAGGCTGTGCATTGCTACTTTGGGGATGATGAACTTTGACACATCAGCTCCAAAAGTTGATTCTACATCAGCTCCCAGGTGACCAGAAGGCACAAGCAGCCCTTGCAGCACATCAACTGGTTGAAGAGAAGATGAAGGGTTTCACCAGCAGCATCAAGGCCGTGGGGCCCCCGTGGGGCTTCGGAACTGATCTTCGGATCTGCCGCCGCAGCTTTTGGGTCAGCCACCTGGTGCGAAGACCTGTCGTGCGATCCTGTTCATTGGGTGGAAAGTGATGAGCCCAGCTAAACCACCAGCAACAGAGTGGGCTCCTCATGCCTTCTTTTCTATGACTACCTTATAGTAACGTAACTATATCGAGTGATGTTTTCATTTGGATAAGACGGAAGGGGTTCCCAGTCCAGATCAACGAGATCTCAGGTCTCAGGTGGTCCCAGCTGGTCTCAGGTCTCACCGACACGGAGGACACGGGTCCAGTCCGCACGTCGTGACACTGTGCTTGGGACTGGGCCTAGGGTTGTTGATGGCATGAAAGGATAGGCTGAACAGCTCGTGATACAGAGGCGGTTTTCCTTTTTTGTGCCCCTGGATCTAAATCTATGTATACACAGAAGCTCCTCCAACCAGAAGGAAGTTGCTGGCCCCAGTGGAAGACTGCATGACTCTTCCACATTGGGATCGATGGAAAAGGTTATTGGTGAATTTGAAAGATGCAAACTGTTTCCATGGACACCCTTGGACAGTGCCATTTTCCCGGACCCCATAACGGGGCAGGCACTGAAGCAGCAAGTCGTGAAGCACGCGAAGCAGCTGGAGAGCTCGACCGAACGCTTGAAAGCAGAGCAGGCAGAGAGAGAGAGAGAGATGAAGACACCGGAGATCTCAACGAACGCGCTCCGCTCTGCTTCTGAGCTGCAACCTACCCGAAGCCGGTCGGACGCACCGGGGGTTGCCGTGCGTGGCGGATCGGCAGGTGAAGGTCTCCGCCTTTCAGGAGGCCACAGCGGCACTGGAGCACCTCCGGGCGGAAGCGGAGGCGCAAACGCGGTGTGCGCGTTGTGTTCGTGGGGAAGGATGGAGATTTCGAAGGTGGAGAGAGAGAGAGAGAGAGTTCCAGACTTCTAGACCCTGAGTATTCTAGAAAGACCCAGTCCAAGAGAGAGAGAGAGAGTTAGAAGTTGGAAACCACTGGTTCTTTCAAGGTGTGAACATGGTCGAACATAAATTAGTCATTACATGTCATTAGTCCTTCAGGATGGATCTTGTGATCCACTTAAACGTCCTTCAGGGTTTTAGGAGACAGCTTGCCGCGAGTCAGCAAGTAGCTCTTTGTTTCTTCAGGATGCGCGTGAGAGGTGCGTCCTAGTTACGAACCAAAACCCAAGGAGTAAAACTATGAAGGTTGTTTTCTTTTGCATGCAACATGTGTTGCGTTTGTGTTTTTGTTCATTATCTTTTCTTCATCCTTGCCCTACAACGGACAGTGACTCGCAGGCACCCGCCACGCAGCCGGCGCCAGTGCCCGAGCCGCTCACCGAGCCAGTTGCAATGGACACAGCCTCACCCACTGCTGAGGGCGAAGTGCCTCCAGCGAAGCGCCTTCGCATGGAAGGCGCACCGCTTCCGCCTGCGCTGGTGGCGAGCCCTGCGCGCATCCGCAGCTGAGAGCGAGGGACATGAGCCGAGCTTGTAAGGAAGAGTTGGAGATATCCAGGGGAGACAGGGAAGTGGAAAAGGTTCCTTCTTGGAGAATACATCATAGAAACCCTGGAGAGGGACAATAAACAACGAGGGGACAGAGTAGGAGCTGCTACAGTACATGGAAAGAGTGTTTCATGATGTTTGATGACCAAGTAAGAAATCCCTGGAAGCGGGAGAGGCAATGTGGGAGCTGCTTGCCCCGCAGGTGGCAAGAGTGCCCTCCCTTGCTTTGCTTTGATGTTTTCCCTTGCAGGCGATCTTTCGAAGATAGTACCATACTCGCCAGGGGTTTTCTGTAAATCTCATCCATGCACCAAATTCAGGTCTCACGAGCCGACCGTCCATTATTGCGCATTTGGGGGAAAAAGAGCGCAGCTGTGCCAGGAGGACCCGAGCATTGGAAGATCAGTCTCCTGCTTGACAGGGTTCTTGATGTATCCTGATGTTTCTAGTATTTTTTGTATGATGTTGTGTTGGCGGTAACCTGGAATGCCAGCTTCCGTTTGGTTGTTCCATGTTTTTGGGTGCGGCTGACTCTTTGCCAACTTCTTCCAAGAGTTTTGCCTGCGAACTCGGAGCATGTTTGCCAAACAAAGTTGGGTGAGCTTGCTTTCCACTCAGGCGTGGCCTGCCAAACCTGTCCGCATGACACAACTCCTCCGGACCCCATGACCTGTCCGCTCAATCCCTATGCCACGCTAAGGGGGCCACCAAAGACACTGAGCTGCACATGTGACCGCACTCCCACTGGTGTCATCCACTTGAAGAAGGATGTATAAGAAGACATTCAGGTTCGGAAAAGGCCGGAAAACCTTGTTTCAGGGGTTGTGTTGGCCACAACACTTGGAACATGTTTGCAAGTCCTTGTTCTTTGTGGCTTGCTATTTGGGGTGTCGGCCAGGACATAGTAAAATTTGCAATGAGCACGGACATGCAAAGAGACCGATATCATGACTTTTGTGCGTCATCCGGTCTTAAAATCTTAGAAGACAACCTACACAGGAGCTAGCAATTTTGGCAGTGGCGTGTGCGTAGCCCGCCATGTTCTTTTGTGTTTCATCTCGAACTCCCACATGCCATTCGTCATGCGACGTGCTAGCATCCCTTGTGTCCAACTTTGTTTGTTTGACTTTTTGCTTTTTGGATTGGAGCTGGCAATGCCATTGAACACATGATCCGTCCATCGGGCTGTATTTTGCGTTGCCAACTTTGTGTTTATAGTGATTAGGCTGTAATTTAGGGCTGTCCGACACGCGTTGTTTAATAGCAGTATATAGCATCCGACAAAATTTAATATGTAAGAGGCCCCCTTGTGCTTTTGAGAGGTGAAGAAATCCTTGGCCCCTATGACGACCCAGCACCGATACCCTTATACCGTACACCTACCAAGTTAGCATTGGTCGGTACTTTGATGGCTGCGCATTGGAATCCAAGGTGCTTTTCAATAGGAGCAGTTCTGAACCTGAGTGGGTTATATGGTAAGGGCATGTAAGGGCTATCACACCATTGTCAAGTGAATTTGCCGTGCTGAAAACAAATGTATTGCCTTGGGTCTCTTGAATCTGCCGTGCTGAAAACAAATGTATTGCCTTGGGTCTCTGGAATCTTTGTGGATTGTGAGGGGGCTCTCACAGACAGCTCAACAGATACTAACCGATACCCTTTTTTTGCAGGTTCACATGCTTTGTTCGATTTGATCATTGTGGGTGCCCACGCAGGTCTCTCATGTTTACAGCTTGCCAGAAGCTGAGAAGCAGACATGGATACAAGGCCAACCAACAAGGACTGGAAACGCAGCAGGCACCCGCACACACTGAAGAGAGCACACCAAGAACCTTTGCAAGCACACCAAGCCACAGCCCTGCTGTTTGCTTCCACAAGCCTCTCACATGGTACAGATATGGCTTCAGGCCCCGAACTGGAAACACAACCACACAGTAAACAGAGTGCAACATGGACATGGACAACCGATATTTCACAAATGCACCATCATGACATCACACTTCAAATGCCCAAATTCTCACAACCGATAGGGGACGACCCAGTTTGACATATGGCATGCGGCATATTGGATGAATAAATAATTTTGTCCGCACCTCGTATAATTTACATGTATTTGTTTGTGTGTGTGTTTTGTTGATAGGTGCCCGGCACTCGGGATCATACAAAAAACGGCAAGAGTCAAGAGAGCATCATCGCAACTAGGAAGCCAACAGAAAAAAAAATATACCGACCTGAGCATGTCAGCGACGTCTAGTACTGTAGGATGAATTGCACACATCTACCAAGGTCTTTTCGGATTCGAACCAGTCACTCTAGTTCGGGCCACCCACCCGGCTGGCATCCCGGTTTGCCCGGTCCGCCGTTTGCCCAGGGTGAGGTTGAGAGCGTGTTTGCACGCATCGGAGAAGTACAGCAAGTGCCGGGATGCCTGGAAATGAAGGATTTTGGGCCTCCAGATGCTATAGAAGCTTTGATGATTGACGGAAGCGTGGTCAGGTGGCCGCTAGAGAACAGAATTTTGCGGATTTGCTAAAATGTGAACATTTGGCTCAGTGGCTTCGGTTTGGGATGGGTGACATGTTGAAACCCCACATGCCTGGCCAAGGCGCTTTTCGAGTTCAGGCGCAGGAGGTGCGTGAGCGCCGAGTTTGATGAGAGGGTGGGCCAACCCACGAAGTACTAAGTGCCATGCCGCCTGGGAATAAGCATCCGCAAACATCCTTGTGACCAATAGAAAATCGTAGACTGTAGGCCTGTGGTTAGGTGCGTTCAAAAAATTCATCTACAAGAAAGTCTGCACTTGGTTTGGGTACCGGGTCGCAGGCTCAATAAATCGCTTGGCGTGGTACCGAAAGTCCAGCAAAATTGGTGCTTGCAGTGGCAGGTCCTTCACATTTTGTCCATGGTGTTCATCCTTCACATCTTGTTCTTCATTGTGGCAGCTCCTGAAAACATGTCGAAACAATTAATTAGTGCGATCCAAGTTTCATGACTTGATCCGCAGCCAATTCATACTCCAATTCATTTCAGGATATAATTCTTGCACTACAAGGATGCTTTCCTCGGGCAGGGACGGGTTAGAGGTGGTAGGAATTGAAATTTGTCAGTAGGGCGAAGCTGAAGAGGCGAATCTTCAGAGGCCCAGCAGCTAAAATCGACCACCGTTCATATTACCTGTAGAAATATATAGAAATATGAAAGACTCCGAAGGCCACACAGGTTTGATTGTTTGCTGTTTAAATATGTTTTGTTCCTTTTCCACCAGGGTTTCGGGGGGCACAGTAGGCAAGCTACGTGAAGGCCTCCCAAATCAGTGTCAACTGTATCCGACAATTCCTCCTTTGGTCGATTGATGAGAAACGCGCCACATGTATGCTTCTGCAGGCTTCGGCCAATGCATGTCAAGGATTTGCAGGGGTTTGCTGATCATGCTGATCTTGAGGAGTCTCACTCAAAGATTATCAAATAAGATGACCATCCATGTTTCGTTCTAAACTCTGGGGTCTAGTTGGGACAAAGATGCCCAACTTCCCGATGGCACCGTGCCGTCACCGTGCGATCACCGCGCGGCGGAAAGCGGCACCGCATGCGCAGCGGCATCCGGTTCGCATGCGCAACCTTCATCGCAGACTGGTTGGGTGCGGGGGAGCTGTTCCAGATCTCAGAGGAGGAGTTTGGGACGCGAGAAGTCGAGTGGAGTCCTGATCACAGTCATGAAGCAGATCGACATGAATTGAAATCCACTCCTCTGATTGGAGAGCGTCCTCTCAAAGCTTACAAGGCGCATCCGTGCGCTTTGTAGAATGAGAGTGTCATTGAAATAGGCAGCTATTCCAGGCTGGATTGAGGTCAGTCAGATAAGTTCGCCCCTCACCTAGAAAGGAGGCCTCATGTGGAACGACATGTATAAGGCTGTTTTGAAAAGCTTGGAACGACCGTCAATCCTCACAGATTTGATACCGTTCAGTGCCAGAGAAGAAAGTTGTTAGGGAAGCAGCCTGGATTCCCATTTGCGATCTTGACAAGTCCGACCTTGAGCAAAACCGGCCGCAGCGAAAGCAGGAACTGATGGACAACAATGTGGAGGTGTCACTGCAAGATTTCCGCCTCTCCGCCGGTGGCGGTTACCGACCACTCTTCTCAGAGGACCCCTTTTTTTGAGGCTGAGAGGCAGGCAGCATAATATGTAGATTAAACATGATTAAACCCTTGTACATGCGAACGTGCACATGCTTGCTATTGTGTGATTTTAAGCGTTCATCCCTTCAACTGTAGTTTTTGACATCTCCCTTGGCGTCAGAAGGTTGAGAGTTGTAAATTCTCAAGACTTGTGTACCTACATTAGAAGTTTCATGTGTGCTATAGTTACTGTAAACGCGTTGGGTTGTACAATCCATCAATCCACATGTTACACACTTGAATTTCCCTTGCAACAGCAACCATATGGGACACCAGTCAAGCCACTAACCACCATGATGGATGTCTCCCACTTGCCCGGTTGACATCGGCGCAGGAGGAACTGCGGGCGCTCTTCGCCGATCACCTGCAGCTGCGGACGGTGGACCCCAACTGGGAAAGGCCCCCCCCCAGAGGCACCTGGAAGGCGCTTTGGTCGGAGCAGCCTGGATTTGGGGGGCGCACACTGGAGTTCGTTGAAACCGGATGATAGATGGAGCTGAAACAAGACCGTGGCATCCACCTCCAAGTCTGCAGAACACAAAAGGGACTAGGGGCGGGCCATTGCAGCCAGCGGTGGCCGAGTGTTCGAGTGGAATCATGATAGATTCATATAAACAATTTAACTACTTTTATATGTATATATACGTTTCAATAATTAATACAAACGCAGATAGGTACCCCTCCAACCACTATATAACATATATGAAAAGCACACCGACATCAACAGCAACTGACAGAGCTTTGCAGCAGCCATCATGGTTGACCATCCCTTTTCCCAACCCTTTTGACCACTAGCATTTTCCCGAAAGCAGGTCCTCCAACAGCGCCAGGCCATGCCTGTGGAACTGACGGGCTTTGCGAAGCTCCAGAACCTTGGAGCCTTGAAGGTTTGTCGCTCTCAGCGTTGGTGAAGCTGCTGATCTCTTCCAGGTTTGTGATGCCCTTGACACCCTTAGGCCTTAGGTGGCTCCAAATACGAAGCTGCTGAAGATATTTGCCCATTTGTATCCGAAACACCCATGCCAGGCTTGCTCAGCCCAGACACCCAGTCGAAAGATAGATCGGCGCCCGGCCTGAAACCAAATTCTTTCGTGAGGATCCGTCGTTGTGCATCGACCAGTTGCTTCCGGTCCTTCTGCGTGAAGTGCACCATGCAGCTTGCCAGGTTTTGGGACATGTTTCATCATGAGCCGAGACGAGCTGTAGACGATCAACTGATGTGAAGATCGACCAAAATTGAAGAGTTCTGGAAATTGATGGCAGTACCCTGGGAAATCCATGTGATCAGGTAGAAGTTGTAATGCGCAACTACAAAAGTTTGTTGCTCCGCAAATTCATATGACTCCGTGTAGCAAAAGGGAGTGTGTATATATATATATAAATAGTTATCGTTTATTACCGCGCCGCAGGGGGCTTCAGGGATGAATTTGGAGTACAAAGGGATAGATTTCCGGAGCTGGTGAAAAGCTCATCCCGTCCTGCAGGCCGGTTGGCTTTTGGCAATACGAATTGGGTTTGCCAAGGTAAGCCAACCAACACAGGGAGGTAGGACATTTTGGCATCCATTGGCTATGCTGTCAATGTATTTGAATGTATTTGATATGGTCCATGAACAATACCGAGTCAAGTTTGCAAAATACTGTGTCCAAAGAGAACACCCCAACACTTTGTGGTTGATGTTGGGGTGAATAGCCCTCAGCACAGGCACTCAACCCTGGGGCAGATACTGTAAACATTTGAAGGCAACAGTGGGAGTGCGAGAGAGAGAGGGAGAGACACAAAACTAAAGAGAAAGAGGACTTATGATCTTCGACCAAACCGGATTGAGCTCAGGCCATGGAATTCATTCATGGAGAAGTGCCTCATCTCAGGAATTGGCAAAGCTTTCTGGTTGGTGTTCAGCAAACCCATCCCATCAAGCGCTTTTGTGGGACAGATACTGTCAGACAGTCAGCCACCTGCAAACGTTGACCTTAAGGCTTCAGGAAAAGGTTGCCTTGGTTAGCTTCAAGTATGTTATGTATAGATACAGTTTGATAGCATAAGACTATTTGTCAGACATCCATATATATATATAGTTATATATATATATATGTAATAGATCTATTACTAATACAGTGCATGAAGTGAAGACATGTTCGTTCTCAGACCTTCATGTCGCCACCACCCGCAGCGGAACGTGGGAAGGGGGGACGGGCGGACGTTCGACAGGTCGAAGTCTTGCAGACTGTGGCGCTGATGACCGGCAAGCTGGCGAAGAGCGGGGGGTCGGAGAAGGTCTCGGATGTGAGGTGAATACTGATTGGATATGATGTTGGATCAAGTCTTGAAGGATTTGGGACGGTTTTTTGATAACGTTGTTTGGATGCCTTGGGGCTGGTTGGGTGCTGTAGCTGGCTGTGTTGCGGACAACTTGCAACCAACTGTATGGTGATCAAAGATCCTGGAGAAGGGCTACAGTGGCTACAGTGCGGCCAACTTGGTATTCCATTCTGCTATGGGGGTTGGGCGGATGAGCGCCGCAAGCGCGATTGTGGACCACTTCTAGGTGGACCTAGACAAGAACTTGCTGATGCTATATATTTGGTATTGATTCATACCGTGGGGCAGGCTGCCCTTGCATGCTTGCCTCAGCAACCCCAAGGACGTGCTTATTTTAGTCGCACCCGATGACGAAGATAGAACCTCCCTTGTAACGAGTTCTGAAGCACCATGCCCAGCAAAGCTGGGCTGGCAGGTGCTTGGCATGACCAGTCATGACCCTTACTGTAGAATATGTGGCATCCACCTGCAAAGGAGACCCCTCATCTTCCAATCCTTCATGATCCTTCATGTGTGGGCTAATTGGCTACGTTTTCTGGCAAGGAAGCACCTCCATTTCCCGACCTTCACAGTGTCCCCTTCATTCACTCAGACTGGAACCACCAGGTTTCAGTAATTGAACCATGATAGCTGAGGAATCCCGACCAAAAACGGACAAGAACTCATTGATTGGGTCGAGAAGCCATGCCGAGCTTCAGGACATCGGATTGCTTCACTTCTTTTTCCCAACACAGGTGCTCTTGGGATGATGAATTTCGGTGCAAGACATGGAGCAACTGAGCAACAAAACTGCGCACAAAAAACCGTGATGTTTATCAAGTTCTTTGTTTTAAAACCGTGATGTGTTTTGCATGTTTCTTTCGGAAAGTGTCGACCGGGGGCGAACCTCGGCCCCGAGGCACCTCCGCAGCCGCCGGCCGCACCCCGCCGCTCTTTGGGCGTGCGGCCTCGACGGTGGCGGCCTTGGCGTCTCGGCGTTTGGCGAGAGTGGGGACCACTGTAGCATCCGATCGCTCCTAGTAGTAGTACGCCGGGAGCACCAAACGTAGCGTCCTTGCTCCCAGTAGCGATGCCCTTTGTTCCTATAGAACATACCCTCCCTCAAACAATCATGGAAGCTGAGCAGACCCCCCTTGTAGAGGACAATTGGTCTTCCAGGCGCCTATCCATGATTGTGTAATAGAATGTGAAACCATGTCAAGACCCTCACACCCATTTTTAATATGGATGCATTCGGGATGATTGAGGTAGTCTTTCAGCAATAGGGGTTGTTGCAGCCTTCCGTAAACTTGTGCCTTCTTGTGCCTCTGATAGTGTCGCTGAGTCACCACAGGAGATTGTTCTGGGCGTTTTCCTGGGCGTCTTCGAGCGGATCGACTTCAATCCGCGCCTCGCGAGCTGTTTGGCAACGCCCATGGGACAAGAACTGCGCGGGGCCGTTCAGAGGGCCTTGGAAGATCACAAGGCGGGCCAGCTTCAAGGGGCGCGGCACCGGGCACCGGTGATTTTTCTGCACTCAAAGCTTGAGGCACTTGGAAGGTGGACCGACTTAACAGCATTTAACTTGGATCATTGAATCATACCCTTGATAGACACAGCCTTGATAGAACTCTTCACTATTAAACAACATTTCGAGTTCGCTGCGACGAAACCCGGCTGCTGCGCACGGTCGGTCGCTGCCAGCGACGATCTCGCCAGTCGATCTCCCAGGCGCTGGTGCCAGCGCTGAGGGAGATGCGATGGGAGCTGGCCAGCTATAGCAGGTTGGCACATGCCAAGTATGGCCACATAGCTGAGATATGCTGCGTTGCGGGATTGATCGGTGTAGTGGGTGTCACTGGTCACTGCATGTCACGGCAAGTGTCACCACAAAATGCTGAACTGCGAATGCAATCGAATGCATTGGTCCATGCCTGCAGCGTGGTTGGAGGCCATATGACGGGCTAGTGAGTGTGAAAGCTCCTTTTCAGTGCTTTTCAAAGATTACATAGGACGTTCTCAAAAATTATGTTCGGTCATCTCCAAAAAATTGTGCTCATTCCTCTTGAGGCCAAAATGCTCGGAAAACACACTCAGACATAAAGCGCATAAAGCTCAAGCTGCAGACGTGAGCTGTCGCAACAATTGGCAGAGCTGATGGATCTGATGGTGAGAAGCTAGCAAGTTCTTCTAGCAGTGTGACAGCTTACCGTCGGTGTCCATCTTAGTTGAAAGTAGGGGGATCACTTCTTCAAGGATCTCCTACCTGGGAGTTCTCAAATTAGGGCTAAGACTATTCTACTCGGTGTTCTTTTGTCCAGCAGGTGGTGTCTGAAGGCATCAGGTGAACAAGTTGCAGTTCTTTTGTGTCAGACACTCCAAAACCCAGATAGATACAGCATTATACACCCCATGTATACACTTATGATAGTATGTGTGTATATATAGTATTAAATTAACAGAAAGGAGCGCTCTGAGCGGCGCGTTTTTGCATTGTTTCATTTTGTTTGTATTTTGTTTCTATATGTGTATTGTGTTTCTATTGATTTTTGTGCCACTGAAAGAATCCTGCCTCAACCCCCCCTCCCCTCCGCCAAGATACATTTTTTTGTGCTCACGCAGGCTCAGCAGAGATGATTTCTTTGAATACACTACTTTTTGGATGCCGGTCTTTTCCGGCTTTCCGTAGTTGAGCGTCGAGTCTGGTAGGTCGGCATTTCTTTCAAGTTGTTGTTCCAAAACTTGATGGCCTCCTCCACCCAGAAGCGACGGCTGGTCGCATTCATGGAGTTGAGGGCAAAGTTCTTTCTGCGAATCCATGCGTTGAAAACCTCAGACATGTTGGTTCGCACCTTGCGGAGTCGAGACTTTTCCGTCTTGGTAAGGTTCCTTTTGGCACACGTGTGACTGCACCGATGGAACTCATCAATGGCATAGTGCTTGATTTGCTTGAAGGCTTTCTTGAGACTGGTATCGGATTTTACTCGTTGCTCAAAATGACATGCATCATCATGGATCAGAAGGTCGGGGTTCACCTTGGGCAGTTGCATTGCGGTTCTCACCACCTCTGCCTTGTCTGCATTGGACTCATTGATGATGTGCTCATTCGCAGCTACAACAAGGCGAGAGTCAGGATCAATCGCAAATTGCCATCCGGCAGTTCGATTTTTCCAAAAGATCCTTTGGCGCTCTTTGTCAACACAGCTACACGTGCGCTCCTCCTTTTGATATCTCTTTCCCTTTTTCGGTGGCCGACCCCGTAGAGCTACCGTGCGAGGAGCCTCCAGATCCTTATCGAGAGCCCTGTGCACTCCGAAGTGGCCATCAAAGCAGAGCACTTTCACCACCACAGGAGGAGGAAATAGAGGTTCCTGTGAGAGCCTCATACTTTCTGAGGGGCGGTCAATTGGAAAGGATAGGACTGCTTCCGGGCTTCGTTGTAGTAGGGCGAAAGCTTCCAAAGCTCTCATGAGGTGAGATTGCAACCTCTTTGTGCGAAGCAAATTTTCCTCTGATAGCATCTTTCTTACGCTGGCTTCTTGCCCAGGAGCCAGGTTGCCCCGGAGGAATCTACACCAAGACTGCTTGAGGTAATTCACGGTGAACCCAAACTGGCTTGACACCATGTAGATGCCGGAGTCTTGAAGCTCAGAGAAGTTGACGACGTTCACCTTGGCGCCGTCAAGGTTTTGTAAAATTGCCTCGGTGAGTGGTCCGACAATCCCGGGTGTGACACACCTTGCGGTAGGAAAGGATGATCTCGACACTCTCACCTCCAAGAATGGTGCATTGGATGGGCTTCTCATCGGTGCGTAGTTGCAGAGGACATTTGCAAATTGCGCACTTGGTTCTTGGAGAATGGTATACTTTCATGTCGGCAGACTCCTTCACGCTCGGCCTGTTCCGTGCGGAACCGTGCTTGGAGCTAGGTCTCTTCATCTGAGATGCTTGGTTTTTAAGCTTCTTTTACAATCCCCCGCGATTGACCAGAAGGCTGCGAGTGGAGCCGTGCAAGAAGCAGACTGTTGAAATATCATTCTCAATGACATGCGTTTGTGTACTTGTTGACGCTTTGAGACTGTTAACGTTAAAGAAGACAAATGCAAAATGATGCACAGCAAACACCTTTTTTCATTGTTTTGCTTTGCTTTGACCTGCGCCTTCCAGTCCACTGCCCCACAGTGGCCCGCAGATTCCGCAGTCACCCTGCTACAGACCGATTTACGGACCTGAGCGCCTATAGAGTGAAAAGTCCGCAAATGAATTTCCTATAGCAGATAGTTCATCCTTCCTGGTAGGTGGCGAAGCCGCGGTTGAAGGGATCTTCGTCTTCATGCGCGCATTCTGGGTTGGCGTCATGCTTTGGTGCTCGGGTTTCTTCCTCGCTATCCGGATCTAGGTCAATGACCATGGACGATGAGGCCAGTTCGCGGCTCCACACACGAGCTTTCTTGAAGACATGGTTCATTGCAACCTCTTCCTTCTCCCTCTTTATTGCGACACGCTCCTCCTCATGTGCCTGCAAGGTCTCTAGCGCAGATTCCTCTTTCGGCTTGTCACCAAACAGGGCTTCGCGAAGATGTTTTCGATCTCGGGCCTCCTGCTTGCTCATCCGCCTTTCCTCAAATCGTTTGTTCATGATGATGTTCACCCACTCCTGTTCCTTTCTCACCTCTTCCATGAAATCCTCAGGCATTTCCTTTTGGCCTGCCTTGTACTCACCGTACACCTTTTTGCCATCGGCTGTCAAGAACCCATCGCTTGACAAAGCGACGCGGGGAACCTTGTCTTCATTGATGCCTGCTCGGCGGTAGTACAGATGAGTCTTCGAGTTCACCAGGAAGGCGGCGTGCTTCATGTCGTAAAAGTCCGTGAAGTTGATTTCAAGGACATAGTCTGGTGATGGAGTCCTCATAGGTGTTGTCTTCCACAGCCCGGTTCGTTTTGAACCCACTTACTGGCTCCCCACCTAGCCCAGGCCATGCTTTCATAGAGTCCGACATCTAAAAAGCCTTGACAAGTTTCATGCTCTGAAGGTTCAGGGCGGCGTCGTCCCATAAGTACAGATCGCCGCGAAGAAAATCTAATTCCGGGGTGCAGCGAATGCAAGGCTGCCCCTGGACCTGGAGCCTCTCCAGGTTGTGGCGGCACTGTGCGAACAGGACACTTCTGCCCAATGGGCTTTTCCCTCCACCGGGCTCTCTGACCAAGGAAGCTTGAAAGTCCCAAATGGCTTCCAAAGCCTTCAAAACTTCTGCGCGGAAGTATTTTGGCGTGAGTGGTAATGGCCAATGATGCTCTTTGCGGGCTAAGGCTCCGTCGGCAGCCAAGTTCCGAAGAGCTTGACTAACCAACGCTACAGGCCAGCCAAAGATTGGAGACGATTTGTTGCGAAGTTCTTTAGTCTGCCAACGGAGCTGGGCCATTTCACAAGATGAGCGAGGGCCCATTCTTGAGAATATGATCAAAGCCCGCATCGATGTCATCATCGTCCTTCTCCTCAAAGCTGCTGTCGGGCTTTGGGCCTTTGCGACTTGTCTGGGAAGTGAGCTCAAAGCACTTGAAGATACGCCCACCAAAGTTCTCCAGGCAGTACTGCAAGATTTTCCTGCCACCTTTGGGGGAAGGCTGCGTCCACATAGATTGAAAGCCCTCGCCGTAGATGAGCTGTTTGAAGAAGGTTGCCTTGATTTTTGCCGGAAAGGCCAAATGCTTCAAGATAGTGGTTTCACCCTCGGAGTTTTTGATGATGACGATTTGGATGGTCGTTTCCTTGGGGACTTCAACCTTCAGACCAAAAGGGGCGGGAAGATACTGCAAATCCTTGCGTTCGCATGCCAGTTTGTAGCTAGCGCTGAGGTCAGAAAAGTTGATGTCGCCCTGAAAGTTCTGGATGAGGTCGAAGGCATGGACCAGGTTTGTTTCCCCTCCGTTCAGTTCCTTCATAGGGAAGGTGAGGATGTTGAAGGAGCCGCATGGCTGGAGAGGGAGCGACATGGGAGCGATGCTCCTGCAAATGAGGCCATTGACAACCTCATACAAATCATCATACGTCATATCTTCAGACTGCATGGCGGAGTTTACTACAGCAGACGAATGCTACAAATGGCGTTTCCTGAATCCTTGATGGATGACAAATGCTAACAGACAGATCCTTCCAGGCAATGTCAGACACATCAACCATTCTCAAGAAAACGCATGAAAAAAGTTGAAAAATGCTCACGTTCATCGAAAAACGCGCCGCTCACAGCGCTCCCCTCTCTAAATTAAAGTGTAATTATTGTGTAGGTGGTCTCAGGTAAACAACAATCAATGCTACTTCGTCCCGCTGCCGCTGCCATCATGTGATTTCAATAAGAACTGTGGCTAAGAGTAATCACGAAAGCTAGCCTTAGCTAGCTGGAGTTGCTCTTGCTTTAGCAAGTTAAGTGACGGGGTGGACGCACCTCAGAAACCTCAAATAATTGATTAAATCAATCTTATGGACCCCCCCCCCCGCGGTTCGACTCCCCCCTGCGCGCGGTGAGCGGGACCACCAAGCAGCTGCAGCACACCAAGCATCTGCAGCGCCCAGCGCAGCAGCGGCAGCAGCAGCAGCAGCACCAGCAGCAGCAGCAGACCACCCAGCGGCGGCAGCAGCAGCAGCATACCCAACGCCGCGGCAGCAGCAGCCGCAGCAGACCACCCAGCGCCAGCAGCAGCAGCAGCAGACGACCCGGCGCCTGCAGAGCACCCAGCGCAGCAGCGCCCAGCGCAGCAGCGGCACCAGCAGCAGCAGCACCAGCAGCAGACCACCGGAAGCCCGGCTAGCTTTCGTTCACCCCCTCTGGCCTCAAGTCAGATTCTAAGTAGTAACAGGTGCATCGCTAGTAGTAACAAGTGCCTTACTAGTAGTAATCAGATTCACATTCGTCAGAATATCGATTTAGTTGCTCCGCTCGGTGCCATTCAGGCTCCCAGTGGCATGCCGATACAGCACTTCACGTGGCCTCACAGGCGCGACCAGTAGACCGTGACCGGTGGTGACCCACGAGGCAAGAGATCGAGAAGGTCGATAACAGTGAATAAGACATGATCAGAACTCATGATTAGGTTTAACATCTCCATATGCCCGAGGGTCATGAATCCACAGTTGTGAACCTCTTGATGGGCAAGGTGATAAGAGTGAATCCACGTGGTGTTCCATCAGAAAGCATCAGAAAGCTTCGCGAATGTTTCTACAGACTTGTGGAGAGTTCTTTCGCACTTCAATTTGGGCAACTGGCACACCACTCTGCAAGGAAGATGACACTGACCAGAAGAGTAGATGTCTTTGGTTGATGTCATCGATGTTGCGTTTCGTGAGTGCAGCATGAGATAGCATGAGGGTCCTTACTATGGTGAAGAATGATCACATGCCAAGGGTTAACCAAAGATGGATCTCTGGTACTCCTATTGAAGGGTGGGCAGCCAGGGTCGCAGGTGGGTTGAGATTGCCAGACCAGGCCATTTGGTTTAAGGGCTGTGTCAAAACCTCGGATTCGCTGAGAAGGTCGAGTCCTTGGGCGGAGCAGCGACCTGAACCGAACACTTGAAGTCACGTCGTCCACGGGCTAAACAATCGAGGCCCGGCCCAAGGTTTTTACTATATGTGTTTGTATGATGTGGGGCAATGTTTCTTTACCTTGGGAGGTTACACATGCGCTGACCGAAGATATGGATTGGCAGGCAGAGTGGGCCCTTTACCATTTGGCTCGCTTGGATGAGCACTTTGCAGAGCGGCTGGGGATTGCTGAGGAAACTGAAGGAAACCTGGCACTGTTGCAGCCTGAGCCTTTAAAAGTTGAGACTTGACAGCAAGCAAATGGTGCCAACAATGTCAAGGGTCAGATTGATCAGACTCTCCTGATCAATCAACAAGTGTGCCTAAAGCCATGTTCAAAGCTATGCAATCAAGCTACGCAGCATACAAATAGATGTAAAGAATGTTTTGGACACCCAATGTCAGTCGCGCGGAAGGTGTGTCCCACCGATGGGGAGACCCTGAAGGATCGACGTTCACACTCAACCATGGCAAAGTCGACGCACTCCACTGGGGAGACCTTGGTGCTTTAGAGACACGGTGGAGACCTTCAAAAGTTGTCGGCCTGGAAATGATAAGTCCTTTTGATTTGTGAAAGGAAAGGTTCCATAACATAGACAAAACTGAAAATCATGAGGCAAAAACTCTGTGTTCTTCTTGACACGGTCCCAATCTTTGGACGGAGCTTCGGCGGGGGTTTCGAGGAGCCGCCCACGGATTGGGCCCTGGAGCTTCGCACAGCACTGCATGTGGAAGGGGAGTTGTTGCACTTGGACAAGGCTGCGGGCGAGATTCAGAGTGGTGATCGGGACGGCACAGACGACGTTGAGCGAACAATGGGCGTGGCTGATGTGGAGGTGCAGGGAAGGTGTTAAGAATGACTAGGATACATTGCGAGCATCACCCAGCACTAGGCAAAAAGCATGGTGCAGTGATCAACCTGATTAAACCCTGATGTTTGTCGTGAATATCATTGCTGGCTCATCGAGGGCGACCTTCCCCTTTGTTTGGCCATGAGTCTTTTTTGGATGGGTTCACAATATCTCCAGCAAACTACCAGTTTTCTAAAACAGCTATAGGTCAAAACCGGAGGACCCAGGTTGACCACCGCAAATGAACAGAATAGATTACCAGCCAGGTCAACCTACCAGCATTTGGAGCTCCAGCGCGGGTCCGGCAGGGGCACAAGTACTTTTAGCAAATCCTGAAGTTGAGTCAACATGCATGGCAGACATTTGGTCAGACTGTGTTGCCGTCCAACTTCACAGTTTTTGTGGGCATCAGCCAGCTATGCACACATTGATTTGATGAGGGGGTGGGGTGGGGTGTGGTGTGGTGAGGCAGGCGGTTGTGCAAAATCTTGGCAGCAGTTCAGCTGCGTTGGTAGTCATGGCCTGACGTGTTAGCATGTTTTGCAATGTTTGCATTGTTTTGTGAACCTTGGTTCTGTTCTGATGTTCTTTTGATTTTCCGTGCTTCTTTCTTGCAAGGGCCTTGATGCATTCTCATTGATCAACTAGTACACATGCAGAGCGCTGGTGTGAAAGGGTACTGGTATCTTGACTGTTTGACCTCTGTTTTTGAAAAAGGGAGCTGCGCAGCTACTGACTGGATTCTTCCGTTTGATTTTCGACATCTGTCAGGGCCTTCTTCGGTTTCTTCTCCGCGATCTCCTTTACCGCGATGAACACGCAGCTTGACATTTGCTTGTTGGGGACTATCCAGAAGAGAGTTGGTTTGGGATGAATGAGTTTCCCCGCTTCAAGTGGTAGTTGCCGAAACGGCATGTAACAGCACCACTGTGTGTGTTTGTGTGGTCTTGTGAGATGGATGTGTTGCATGTTGCGGCACTTCAGAACAAGGGCTTCAGAATCAGAACCTCTTTATATGCGTGTTGATTTGAGCAGGGTAGCAGATACTAGATCCAACGTAGTGATGTTGAATGTGTGTGGAGGAGGTCGGATGAACAAGGAATGCCGAGCCAAATGGTCAGTTGTCAGTTGTGCGTGATTTTGGTGTGGCCGCTCTTGTGTTTTGGCCTATGATCCACGCGAGGATGATGTGCACGAAGGCATTGTATCCGAAGTCCTGAAGCGCATTCAGCTGCGCTTGCAAATTGTAAGTGTCACCACCATGGGGCATTTCGGCCAACAGATTGGTGCAAGGGAAACTGGGACCTCCCCTCGCGCTTTCCAGAATCCTCGATCCTTCAGAATTCTCCACAAGCCCCAATCAAACAACTAAACCAACACCATCTCATACCATCTCCTTCCAAAAATGATCCAATATTTGAATATTTGTTCAATTCTGTCCCCGGAAAGATCCCCAACACCAGCCAGGTCTGTGACCTGGGCGCCTTTGCTGGTCACTATTCCCTTTGGCTCAACGACACCGGCCTCGTCACCTCCTTCGCCTTTGACGCCGTGACCGCCGTGACCGCCAGCGTGCGGCCCATGGACTTGACCGAGGAGCGGTGACGGCGCCACCTTGTTTTTCAAAAACTCATGGGAATTCGCTGAAGACTGTGTGGTAGCTGGGGGCACGTAGTGAAAAGTAGCGTGTACGGAGGAGCTTGAATCATGAATGGATTTGGTTTGCATTGAAGAAAACAGTCTTGAGTCCGGACTTTATAAGCCACTGAATCGGTCCTATAGATTCGGGCTGTTGTTTTAGATTTGGGCTGTTGTTTTTGAAGAACCTTGGAGATGCCGCGGCAGCAGGAAAGCTGTCCATCACTTGTTAAGGCCGACTCTGAAGATACAGCCGTCAGCCACCTCCGTTTGACAACTTGTTCTCCACAAACGCTGTTAAACCATGTACATGAGTGTAGGTTTGTTTCTTGTATGCTTCGTCCGCTCGCATCCAGATGTTATATCTTGGGGCTCCGAGACATCAAGGAAACCTGCATCTATTGAATCATGTCCAGCTGAGAACTCTATTAGTTTGGGGCAGAGGTCGCCCTCGCGCAGGAGGGTGCCGCCGCAGAGCTGCCGATCCGATGTGCTGCCTCCGGGCACAACACGTCGTGGAGTTCCAGGGGTGGCTACGGCAGAGTGTTGGCCCGAAGAAGAACCATGAAACAGCTTGCAAGTGCCCTCCCTACCTGCTGAATGGCACATCCCCAAAAGCTGGAGCTAAGGCATAACTTAGCCTGTGGACTTTTATTCGTTGGAAACAGGCATGTGTTTGTGTGCTGTTTTGTTTGTGGCATCATGTTTGAGGTTTCATTTGGTATGATTTGATCAAGCGGAATAAACATTGTCCCCCCATGTTCTATTCGTAGATATGTTTAATTGCTTTGTCCTCAATGCCAGACTTGATGGTACATGTGCAAATGTGTCCCAAGCCACGGTGATATCAAGTCCTCGGACCTTTCTTCAAGCTTTGATCCAAGACCAGGTGTGTCTAAGTATGTATGCATAATTATGCATAAAAAAATACACACCTATGTGCTGTGTCTGTGTGTATATTTATATATAAATATAGAGAGAGAGTTATTATCAATTTTGTTCCAGCAGATGTTCCGCACTTACTTGTCAATACTGAAAGTTACCACTTCTCGGCCACGCATGCTGCAACTGCATGTTTCACCAGCAGAAGGAGTGACATGTGGCCATTGATGTGGCTGTGTCAGTCAAATCTGGCCAAGCCCACTGGTTGGCACCCAAAATGTAAAGAAGGGTTGACACTTTACTCCTCAATTGCGCGCCTTCACCTGTGAGGTAGGTTTGCTTAGCTTTGCGCCTTGCCCGCGTGCTGAGGTGGTGCTGTGCTTGGAAGTCTTGGAACATATCCCCAGACATCAGGACTTGCAGGGTCAACCAATCATGTGTTGGAAGTTCCTGGTACATCAATACATAAAGTTCCCCGCATAAAGAAAGAACCCACCTTCAATACAGACATCAGCATCAGCCACCTGTGATTGCTGTGGATTGCTGTGATTGGAAGGCCCCTTAGGAGATCAGGGCCCCAGCTTCCGGAAACGTTGGCTCCTTTGACCTTAAGGCTGCGATTGACCTTAGGCTTAGGCTGCAACACACGGTAGCACCAACCCTTCAACTCGATGTTGAAACCATAATTAGGCCATCACTGCTGCTTGTCAGGGACAATGTGTTCTTTCTTGGGCGTTGGTCACATGCGGGCAGAAAAGAAAGGCCTACAAACATGGACGACCCCCTCAGCTTCGACGAAAAATACGTTTGGGTTTGCTTCAGGAGGAGGTGGCTCTCAAGAACCTGGGCCGTTTGGCAGGGCGTGCGCTGGTGTGGCCTGACATGATCAAATCGCTGGCGTTCGCTGTTTGATTTGCTGTTGTCAGCCACAATCTCACTTAACTTTGTACACTCGGACGGTCAATGGTATTTCAAGTCTTGTTTTTTTCTTCAGGGTTACTAGTACTGTAATTGTTGATGGCTTATTGATGAGGCATGTGCAGGGTTAAGATTCTTACCCGAAGGCTTTAGACTTCTGTTGGCCGATCAGATCAGAGAGAATTACTAGAGGTGTTTTTGCTTCAATGTGGTGGAAGAATGCTCGCAGAGAGTGCGGTTGGGAGTCCCATGCAGGAGAAACTAAGTTGATTGATTTGACAAGCAGGCCAGAAAGAGTTCTTTGGTTTGCTCCCTCCGCCCCGTGTCAAAACACTACTGCCCCTGGCTGTAATCGGGTGAGCTAGTAGAATCCCTGGGAAATTCCTATGGATGCCTATGGAATGAGATCTGTAGAATCACCAGTTTCCATTTTCCCGCATTGGTCCTGGCTGGGGGTTCTTCCATTTCTACTGTCCTCAAAGCGCAAAAAGTGATGCAAAGACACACCCCTTCACCGGTGTTCAAACACGTTTCGTTCTCCTTTCATCAGGACCTCCACCTGAACGAAAACTAAAGAAAACACTCGTTTCACGTTCCTCGTCATTCTGAAAACCAATTTGTTTGCGTCACCGACATCCATCCGAAACGAAACGAAAAGAACCACCAACCCTCCCCCTCCCCCAGGGAGATCCACCCGAGTCGAGATGAGCCGAGGTTGTCCTGGGCGCCGCCCCACATCCCGGGGCCCGGCCACATCAACCAACGCCCCACGCTGGACGCGTGGGCGCGGGTCGAGGAGGCGAGGACGAGTGACCGACGTGAGGAGGTCCGAGGTCTGAAATCAAAAGTGGAGGGCGGGAGGAGCTGGTGCCGTTTGCTTGTAAAACTGGAGTGCCTTGTTTTGCTTTTGGAGGGGCTTAGGCCTGATCCAGACTGGTGAGTAGGGTTCAATTGGGGCTTTGAGTTCTGCACAAACCGTTATTTCTGCACTCCTTCAAACAAACAGAGTGAGCTCAGAGTAGGACGCATGGATCCATACCATTTGAGGGTGTGCCGCATATACTCTGAACTCACTGTATAATAGGAATGAGATGCTTGGGTCCTTAGAAAATTACAGTAATCCTGGGTACCATGTGGGCTACTGATTAATTCTGTTGGATTAATTTCCCAGGAGCAATTTCCTGGGGACACCAACATGGAATGAGTCTCAGTTGGGATGAAAATCCCGTGACCTCCTTCCTTTTGGCTCGTGTGCTTAGACTTTTCTGTTTTTTTCCCAAGCCCATCAAAAGCCCAGGTGTCATAGACGCAGAAGACGCAGATTGCGATGTCTTCTGGTCACACGAAAGCACCTTCCGGTCGCCGAAACCCCAAGATATATTGCTCACGGGTTTGCACAAGTAACGCATGGGTTTGGCGCCCAGGCAGCCAGTTTGGACTTCTAAGTGTTTGAAAACTAGACAGGGTGTATTCCAGGACGTGATGTTTGGCACAGGTAGTTTGGCACAAGGTTTAATCACCGGTGTCCTCCCACACCAGTTTTCTTTTCGACGGACAAACAAAAGACGCCCTAGACTGGTTGCATGTGGGAACTAGACAGACTGCAGAGAGATCCTTTCCTAGACAAATGGAGGTGTGCGCAAACAAGAACCAACAGAATGCAGATGAGATGCAGAAATCAGAGATGATCAGAGGACAAATACTTGGGAGGTTTGCTCTACAAGCCGTAGGCACCTCTAGGCCTCTAGGCACAGGGCGGTTCAAGCAGGTCACCGGGCTTCAGCGGAGCCACGAACTCACTGAAGAAGCTCAGGCGGAAGGGTTTTCCGGGACTCGCGCGTCCGGATGCGGACAGGGTGGACTGGAAGAACCACATTCAGCCGATCTTCCCCACAGATTTGCTTGTGATGTTGTTTCTTTCTGCAGGTGTTTCAGGCTGTTCCCTCAAGCTGCTTTTCTTTGCTTTTCTTGTAAGTATCAGATGTCCGACAAAAAAGAAGCTAGAAGCACTAGGATGACCTGTCGTGCCTGTTGAGAAGTTCGGCCTTGGACTCTGGGGCACGCCTGTCACAGGCTTTTGGTGCACGTGATCAGCCCCACAAGCTGCCCAGATATATGCTTCAGAGTGTAGGTAAGAAGCGTACTGTTATACAGTTGATTCTCAGGTGGTACACTCACAGAACGGATCCGTTGCAAGACCCTTTAGCAACTGGGAATTGAGGCGGCCCGTGCTTCTTCATCCACCTCAGGATCAAAAACAACAGAACTCACAACCCATTGCGAGACGTCTAGTAATACCTATAGTACATAGAGAGTTTGCATGAGTTTGCGGTCGATGACTTTTGGATCTCCATCAACGGATGATGTTTTTTTCCTCCACACAGTTCTCATCCGAGTGAGGCCCGCAGCGAGATCCCTTGGATCCGCGAGTCCGTGGCGATCTTCTTCCGAGTCCCGGGCCCGGGGGATCTGACGCCGCCTGCAGAGAGGACGCAAAAGTGGGCGGCAGCCGTCAATTTGGGTCTATGTGTGACTGGACCTTGTATATAAGAAGGGGAGTTAGAAGAAAGGAATGTGTTTGCTTTTGGCTCCATGGGTTTGAGGGAGGGAAGCGGTCATTTTCCCGGCTAGCTTTAGGGAATTCTGATTCTTGTCTCACACAGAAATACCTCCAGCCACACTCAGTGGGTGATAGGGATCCTGGTTGCAACGGGCTGTGAATGTGGCTGTTACAGACAAATACCAAGCAAAGCGTGTCTTTGCCGCCACGCTGTGGTTGGAGAATGAATACTGATCGGCTTGGATTCTTCACTATCAGGCCGACCGTTGTGTTGTTCTGACGTTGGTCCGGTGGGAGGTTCGGCAGGTTTGGGATGTTTGGCACCTGATCCGCTCGGGAGCATGAAACAAAAAGGTTGAATGCTTCTGATGCTTCTCCATGTTTCCAGATGCGGCCTTTGCTGATTTGCCAGGTGCCACGTGCTTGGTGTACCTCGGCGATGCCGCGCTCGCACAGATGGCGGTGCAAGTGTTGCAGGGATATTCCTTGCGACGGCACAGTTGGGAGTCCCAGCATGACCAAGGGCACACAAGCTTGCCTGGCAGGTGAGGTGTTGTTTTTGGAAGTGGGTGCTGCAAACTCTGACTGAGATAGATAGATATATATATATATAGCTATGATATAGCTATGATTTTTGAACCTATCCAGATTCTCCATTTTGGGGGGGTTGACCCTTGATCTTCCCAAGGCACTATCAAGGAGGAGTTCAAACTAGTCGCCATTTAGACAGGTATACGTTATGCAATTACATCTGCAGTATATTTTGTATAGCGGCATGAAAAATACATGACACAAATTATCCAATAACTGCTTTTGCTAGCATTTGTTCAATGCACAAGGCTAGATATCCAAACGAAGCTCAGCATCGTATGCAGCAACGTCATCATCGTTTGGGATGTTTAGGTCTCCCCTAGCTAAAGAATCCCCTTTAGACAAAGCAAGGTGATGGTGTTGCAACGGCAATGGTTTGTTCACATACTAATTACTGTATATCTCTAGTCTCTAGAAAGAGTCCTAGAGTTGACCCTTGCATGCCCAACCGCATAACAACAACCACCTTTGAGTATCGACCTCAGCAACTACCTCTGAGTCCCAGGTTCATTGGAAGAGTATCAACCCTCGTTTGAGGTCTGAATTTCATGGCTGCCGCAGTGCCACAGGGCAGTGGCACCATCTTCGTCGGGAACCTCCCGTAGGGGCACCTAGCATGTGGAGACACGTGGCGTTTTTGTGGCCGTGGCAGTGGACCATGGAAGAAGAGTTTCCAGTTCTCGAAACGGGTGAGCATTGCGCATTGTACACCTGATATTCATATGGAGTGGATCTTCCATGATCATCTCACATGGGTGTGAACTGGCCTGAACTCTTCGGCAGGTCAGAGGCAGACGAGCTCTCCTTGCATGAGCTCTTTTCCAGTCAAGCGGCTGTGGCCGACATCCGCCTGGTGAGGCATGAGACTGTGTGTTTCGGGCCACTGGGCAGCAGACCCCAACCGGCAACATGGACATGCTGAAGATCAAAAGACGCGCCTAGAGTCCTAGAGATCTTTTGTTTTTACAACTAAGTTCTTTCAATAAGTTTCCCATAAATCACCGGCCAAACTTCCAAAAGTTTGCCCACTGTTTTTTTTGCAAGTGTTTCCGGTTGATTCCGAGGTTTGTCGACTTCAAGACCCACCACGATGCCATGAAGGCGTGGATGCATTTATATAGTTGCAACAAAGAAATTGGCCAGCTGAGGCTGAGGTTTTGGGGGGTGGACCATGGAGCACCTGCAGGTGGTAGACGAGCTGGATTTGGCTCGTTTTTCGGGGAAGCGTTTCATGTGGCTAACTGGTGCGTGCTTCAACGACCGGTGAGTGAGGCCTTGGAGGAATTGCAAGGGGTGAAGTACTTGGGGAGGGCATTGCGCTTAGATGAGCAACAAGCAGCTTGGCACAAGTGGTGATGAGTGGTGGATAGTGGTGGTATAGAGCAGCCGTTTTGTTTTGGGGACAGCGAGATGGCCATACTCAACGAGGAGACTTCTCCAAATGAGTGCAACTAGCAGCATGAACTGGACAATGTTCATATATTGGTCTAGGTATAGTCACCCCTAAGAGCCGCGGACAAACCAAAACCAAGAGGAATCTTGAAAGAGATCCAGCCAGTGGGAAGAACAAGTTGTTGGACGACATCAAGAGAAACAAAGCAACCCGTTGGTGGAGGAAGGTCATCATTCAATCCGGACTTACTTACGCGATGCGACTCAGTCTCCCTCCAACCTAGTAGCTTCTTGTTACTAGCAGCGATGGCCTCCCATCTGCTTGCGATGGCCTAATAGCGTCCTTATCCCAAAGTCCCCTTTTGGTTCTCCCAAAATGGAGCAACAACCACTCATTCAGGTCCGCTCTCCGCGTCGCTATGCGTCGCTCCGGGAGCGCCTCGCACGAACTTGTGGAGCGCCCAGGTGCGGCCCAACTTCACTCCGGTGCTCAGCCGTTGCCCCCCAGCGCGCGAGCGCGGGGAGACCAAGCTGAAGCGCCATGGCCCGGACGCACGCGCCTGGGCCGCACCCTGACACGTGTCATGTGAGTAGAGCTGCATGGGGGCGGGGCGTCATTATGTGTTAGTAGTTGGACCACGACCCCCGGTAGGCCGTGTGGTTTTCTTGCGATTTTGACTTTTTTCGACGTTTTTTTGCATCCCAGCTGCAGGTCTTCGTTGCATTGCACAACAATAAAACATATCTCAGATTGCACATAACATGATGCTAGCTCATCGTATCTGAAACTTATCTCAGACTGCACATAACATGATGCTAGCTCCTCGCATGTGAATTGAAGTCACCAAATGTTTGCTATGTTGCACTCTAAATTCTACCCTTGGGTGGAGAATTTCAACGTTTTTGCCATTCGCCAAGTTGATGCTACATTGGGTATGGATTGGAAGTTCTTTGATGTCTGTAAACTTGCTTACTTGCAACAGCAACACGTACGACATGGACAGTTTCTGACGGTCAGAGCTGCAAATTGTTGGGGTGGGGGGTGGGGGGTGGGGCCAACAATGACGTCGGTCTACATCGTCAGCCGACATAATGACGTCGGTGGGGCCAACACAATGAACGATCTGTGCAAAGTCGCTAAGCAGAGCCGGTGGGTGCAAAAAGAAGTAGTTTTGTGATTTCGCAAAACGTGCAATTTGCAGTTGCATCTTTGAACATGATAGTGGCGCTACAGCGCCGTGCGCATGTTCAATTAGACGGCCCTCACAAAATGCCACGGCCTACCGGGGGTCGTGCACATAGTAGTTACATTGTGGTGTCCTTTTACATTCTTTTACATCCTTTTACACTTGATATGAATTCCTTGGTTCAGGGTTACCGTGAAAAGGGTTGCAAAAAGGCCTGGGCCTGTTGGTGTCATCAAGGACTGCCCGAACCGCTTGTGGAGTTCTACACCATACACCTACAAGGGCGATTGCCCCGACGGTGTTTGCCTCAACGACAAACTGGTAATACTCAATAGGTTTAAATGATCTTAATAGGATTTTGATTCAGAACGCATGAGCACGGCGAAAGGTTGGTGAGGTGTCCCTCGGCACAGGCTTCGTTGTTTAGTCATATTAGCAGGATATATAGAAAGCTCCTGGATGATGGAAGGTGCTTCCAAGTGAACATCCCGGATTGAAATTTCCGCACCACACCTGTTTCCATGAGTGCAACATAGCAATGAATCGCATGAATACTTCAATGAGACGAAACAATTTTGAGATCACTGGTGCGAAATCAAGCGGACACCTATTACTAAATTTGAAGGCTACCTGCGGGCTAGACTAGAGCTGTGAGACTCATACTCATAGTGGCAATCAGTCTTGAGTCAACCCAGCATGTGCCTCCAAGCATAATTGAAAGCAAACAACCCAGGGGTCCTTTCTCTCAGGTCCCACCGAAGGTTGCGCTTTCCACCAGGAAAGCCTCAAAGACCCTAGAGACATTCGCCGACACCCAACTTCTGGGGATAGGATCGTGGCATAGGGGCATAGGGTGCGGGTCGACACGCAAGAATTCTGATTTGAAGATGAACCTGTTGGTCTAAATTGGCACCCCTTCAAGGTGCAAGGAACCATGTGCCATCCTGTGCGTGAAGGAACCTGTGGTTCAGCACCTGTAGCTCTGACCACAAAAATTGAGCGCCTCCATCAGGCAAGCTCTTTGTTGGTGGGATCAGTCCTGAGATCAAGGAGGAGGAGCTGTTCTCGGAGATTGACGATAGCTGATCTTGTGGACAGGTGAGAAAGATATGAAAGAGTAAGAACGCCGTGGTGAGGAATTGAGCCTTCGCATGTCATTATACATTTTGTCCAACATGTTTCACTGCATTACGTATACCGCATACTGTAGAATCATATGAGGGTGAAAAAAAGGCTAAAGTGCTGAAGTTGCTAAGCGTGTGTCCAATGGTCTTCAGAACGGCAATGCAAGCACAATGTCAATCATTGTTTGTCCTGACGCATCCAAAAGCTGACATTTGGCAAAAACTTAACTGACCTTCACTGACACTAGGAAGATCTACAATCTACACACATTCATGCATATTCAGATGTGTCCTTTCCCAGAAGGTGAGCGGTTGACAACTGAACTCCTCCTGTCTCAGAATGTCAGCCGTGAAGAAAGCTGGTGATGTTCCAAGGCGCCTCAGACACGATCAGGCACAGGGGAACCTTTAAGCTGCCAATGCCAAGATTGAATATTTGTTGTCGTCTAAATACTCCAAGGGCCCTCAAACGGGTTACAATGCAAGAAATATAATACAACATGGTCATGATTGGACATGCCAAAGTGCGCAGCATACAGTGGCATACAGAACGTTCTGCGCGTATTAATTGCAGTTGCCAAGTATCCTATTCTCATTTGTTCTCTATTTGTGCTCTATATCTATGATATATGTGACCCGACCATGACTTTCTTCAGAAAACGCCTTCGAAGATGGACGCGTCGTTGGCGGCTTCAGGAGGTGCAGCAAAGCTTGGAAGCTTTGAAGGGCGCCACTGAGGCGGCAGACGTGGGTGGCATGTGGGTCATGGCTTCATGAGAAACCTGTCCAAGAGAACCACCTGAGATTTTGCAGTATTTCATCTTACTCAGCAATTGGCTGTTGACTGATGAGCCCACCTGAGATGAGACTGCGATTCAGTTGCCAAGATCAGGAGATCTGGACACCCCACTTGTCTCCCACCTTTTGTACAGGGCCGGCAAGGCTGTTTTCATAGATCAGATGGGTGGCACAGACAGATCATGTTCCAAACCCGCCTGAGTGGGCAAATCATGCGGCATCAAATGCCCGCAACGACATTGATTGAAAGCAGACTTTTTTCAACCTTGCCAGGTTCTTTTTGGGCTGAGGTGATAGGCGTTGTGTTTCAAGTTCATGGTGCTTCATTCTGGAGACCTATATACTATACATATACTGTATATATAGGGTATGATTGATTGCGAAATTTGGAGGCAACCCTGAAACACCGAAAGAATACCGACAGACTATTAGTTTGTCTATGTTCATGCAACGATATATGTTCAATGATCTACTAGAGTGGGTCCACTGGGGGTTTTCTCTTCTTGTGGTGCGTGGAAGGGGACCTGCTGCCCAAAAGACAATGCTGGCATCTCACATGGCAGGTGTCAATCCATCAGAACAAGAACAAACTGGGCAGCTATGCCTTTGCACCTTGGCTGGGCAGTTTTGAGCTTGAACGTCCTACTTAGTTACTTAGAACGCGGGAGAACTCGTTGGAAACCACCACCATCGTGGCACTCCAATTGTTTTTTTGGGGGGGAAGCAACACCATCTCGGCAATTTGCAGGTGTCTCATCAATGAATGGTCATCAATCATGTATAGGACAACTCGGGTTTCAGGTTCAGGGCAATTCTTGAGATCACAAAGAGAAGTGCTTGCATTCAATGAAGCATACCATTTGGCACTGAAGGTGTATATTTGATCTCTGCGGAATCCTTGTGGCCTTGCCCGGGTGACATGGTTCCCTACATGTCCCATGCCATACTCATCTTCATCATATCAATCCCAGATTGCTGCATCTAAAAAGCGAAGATTGCACAGAACATCACAAAACCATGCAAATCCGAGTTCACTTTGGATTATGGGATTCGTTGGATTGGTCAGAAAAAGCACCTACTTCGGAAGAGCTAGAGCCATGTAGGAGCTTGTTCCTTTGGTGTTGTGGTGAGTGGCTGCCACCACACTCATGCAGTTCACACACAGCAGAAGCTTGCCACAGCTTTAAGGTGTGGTTCAGCACTCCAGTGTTTTGGCAGAAGAGCACAGTGGGGGCGGGAGTGGGGTTGGTCTTATTGTTTGTTTTATGTTAGGTTGTATATCCTGATTTGTTTCACTCATTAAGTTCAAATGCATTCGGACCTTGGAGCAGGTGCCTTGCAACTGTTGTTTTGTCACATGCCTTATACATAGCATACATACGGAATTCAACGAACTTTACACACACACACATTCTGCAAATTGCCAAATAAATGAAAATAAGCTTTGGGCTAAGTTTTTACTTGGAAACCCAACTGTGTGCGGATGCCTTCAGTTTCCGTGCTCGGAATGAGTCGGCACCGCTTGTATCACCAACTCTGAAATAGCTTAGCTCAACTGTTCAAGCAGCATTTTTGTCAGTCAATTCTTTGCTTCCTCGTGATTTGCTTTGAGTCCGCCCAATTTAAGCTCTGTATGGTTTTGCACGGTCAACCAATGGCAGCCATGTTGGAGGCCATCGAATTACCTTTACTTTTCCAAAAGCAGCTCTAAGGAATTGGCAGAAGAAGCCATGCAGAAACGCCTTGTGGTGTGTGCGGGGCAGTATCCCGGCAGCACTCTACGCGAACTTGGTGAGGAGTCTTCAATCACATGTCACAACATGTCACAACTATGAAGGTGCCCTTTAGAGGTGTAGCCTGAATAAAGTGGCAGGTTTTCATGAGGTTTGGCCCAAATGCCTAGCAGCAAACCGAAAAGCTACACCCGAAATGGAAGAGCCTGTCATCCACAAGAACAGCCGGGCACGCCTCCAGCAACGACATCCCGCCCAGAAGCCTTGCGAAACAACACGATGACGTTGCGATTGTGCTGACAGGTGCAAAACAACCTCCCAAATCCACCGCAAAGGGGCTATGATTTGATTGTTTTGGGAGAGTGTTGGCATTGTGTTTAGGATGGAGTCCCGGTGTGAAGTCAGCCTGAGGAAGTTTCATTTGGAGCGGACCATGAAGAAAAAAAGAGGCCGAGATTTCAGGGCAGCTTTGGAGATTTGGGCGGCTTGTTTCAGGAAAATCTTCAGAAGACATGCAGATAAAAACAGTGAGGTTTTCGAGTGTGTTCTTGTTTGGATTGTTTGGGTTTCGATCGTTTTGTGGTCCTGTTTGTGCTTTCTTTTGTGCGTTTGTGTGCCACAGCTGCAGGTCAAGGACCTTGGATAATGATAATGTTTCGCCTGTACTTGGCGCATAGTCGTTGCTGTGATGCTTGGTCAAGCGGCCGCACTGCTGGGAGATCCTCACGTAAAACGCCGCCCTTGTACCGCAAACTCACTGGGACTGGGACATACTGAAAGCCTGGTTGAAAACGTGATCGAATTCTAGTTAGTTGGTAGTTCATGTGCTCTTTCTTAGGCAATGATTTCCCCTGAAGTTGCTTTGTACAATGCACATCCGAGTTTACATCCCCCCTGTGTTTGTACATAATGGTTGATGTCGATGATCTATCCACCAAAATTAAGGTACCACGCTGCTCTCAAAGAAATACAGTATCTCCAAGAAGATTGCATCGACAAGAGTGGAGGATAACAGCATATGCACAATTGTAGTCCCCGGAAGGATCCTCTGACAAGAGTGAAAACACCTCGCACCACTGGTTTTGTAATGACCGCTTGCTCCAGCTACGTAGTTAAGCTCAAACAAACGCGGCTGATGATAATGATCATCAAAATGATGATGACGATGACGATGACGATGGTGATGATATGAATATCTATATAATATATACATAAATATACATACATTTAAATATATATATATATAACCTAACAACGCATTTCAACAAACCTGAGGTCGTTACACAAGGTCACAAGGCAATCATAGGATCCCTCAATGTGCATTTCTTGCAAAGCAGGATGTCCACAGGCTGTGCACTACTCGTTCTGCAGAGACTAGGTAGGAGCTTTTTGGTAGATGTAGCGGAGGATTGGTGGTGTCATTGTATCAGCAAGGGTGGGAATAGAGTTTTGTAATTTGCGTGGGGGGGACTAGTGCAACCTCGGCCAATGGAAAAGACAAAGTTAGCAGCTAGCTTCTGTTGAGGGCACCCAGATGTTTGAGGATCATCCATGGGGTGAGTGCACTGCCGTTGGACTGTCGACCTTCACCAGGAACCGCGGACAGATCTCATGGTGTGCACCTCGCCGCCAAAAGAAACACGGTGTTGGTTGGACATTGGGACGGGTGGGAAGTGCTGCGAACCTGCGCCCCCCTCAGTATGCGAACCGTGTTCCACAGGCACAGGATCATTTTCTGCACAACAACCGCAAGTGGTCAAGCAGGAACTATCAGCGTTTGAGAAGTGGAGGGCCCCACCCCACGCAGCATTTCCAAGGTCATGTTGGGAAGTAGAGGGACGTCCCTAGCAAACAAGGGTGCCTCAAACCGAGGGTTACGAATGTTCTGCCAAGCACCCACCTCACCGTACAGCAGAACGCAGAATCCAGAGAAAAAGATGATTGGACACCTCAAATAAGAAGAGGTCGTATACCATCACTGAAGACGGTGCGAGAAAGTTGCTCCAGGAAACAAGTCTTGGGAGCCCGGGATCAAGCACTCTACTCTTGACGTCAATTGTGAGTTTGTGACGGATGAGGTAGCTGCAGAGTCAGAAACAAGAACGATGGAACCGGTCCGAACCGGTTGCCGGGTTTTCACCCACTTGATGCTTGAACCACCGGTCACTGTCATAGATCCGCACGCCCAACTCCTGGAATCCGCGTGCCCAACGCTGAGCCCTGACTCCGACATTCTGAGACGAACATGGTTTCGGTGCTCGACCACTTCCATGACGTTCTTTATTCTTTGATGCACCTTCTTCCTACACCACCATACTGTAGGAAGTTCCCTGGTGATTGAGTGATGTTGTTCGACGATTGTGTTCGATTCCCCCCAACAAACATGTGTCTTTCATGTTCTTTCATGTTCGTTCACGTTCCACGCCAGGTGGTTTGCCAGAGGACGCCCAGCCGCAGGAGCTGCAGGAGGTCTTCGACTCAGTGGCAAACGTGGTTGAGGCGCCGTATCTGACTGGACTGCAGGGTATGGAGTGAAGCTGATGATATTTGGTGGATATCAGTTGACATGATCAATAATAGATCATCAGAAGACATGGGAAGACTATATAAAGTTACTAAAGTTAAAGAAGTCACCGCATTCTGGTGGTGGGATAGGACACCTGGATAAAGCCTGCATAACCAATGGGGGCCGATCCATTCTAGGCCATGCCCTTAGGCTAGACACCAGATTTCATTCGACACTCACGTGGTAAGGACAGTGAAGGTGGCAGGTGGACGTGATTTTAGTTACAATGACAAGCTGAGTTAGCTGAATGCAAAAGGTGGTGAGATTTGCAAGAGGCGGAAGTAGCCAGGAAATGAGATTTAATTGTGGGGATGCATTGTTTTGGGTAGCTGGGCTTAGTTTTTCTATATAATGTATTAATCTTATGCTGACTTTATACATATGGCATTGGAGGCCATGATTCCCTGGGCACTGGGAGGTGGAGATGCTGCCATCGAATGGAAGCGGCGCAGCTGCCCGAGTGTCGTTTCTGGATGCCAAGGAGTTGGAGAAGGGGCAGGTGCGGACAGGACAACTCCCCAAAAGCATGGCATCGCATGTTTTTGGGTCCTCAGTGTGCTGGAGCATATGGAGCATGGTAAAGAGAAAATAGTCTTCAAGCAACCCATGTTGTGCCCACTCTATATATAATTAGATGTGCTTAGATGTGTAGTGCCCACTCTGTATGTTACAATAATCATGATATGCACACGGTGGATGTGTCCCACCCAGCACAGCGCTGTCACCTGCCAGGGCTTCTTGCAGCAGGGTGCTTCTTTGCGGGGCGCCAGCTTACGCCTCCGGAGCCGCTCCCCGAGACGGAGGCGATTCGTCCCGAGACGTAGGCGAACCGGAGGCTCCGAGTAGTAAGGCCCGGAGCCCCGAACGTGGCGTTCTTGTTCCTGGAACCTGATTGGAACCTGATTGGAACTTGATTCACCAAATCCTTGTGCCCTTTCAAGGCAGGTGTCAAAGAGGGGAATTGATTCGATGAGTTCAGCAGATGAGCTGCGCAAAAAACATGTCGTTTTGAGTTTTGAGACCTCAGGACATGTGGGTCAGTAAACTCGTCCCAACTGTCCATGTTGATGAGCCTATTCCCTCACACCTCAAAGAGTTTGTTCCCAGTTGGGGTCTAACAAACCCTTGCTTTCTTGGGATTGTATATCAACTGTGTAGCAGATATAAGATGATAAAGATGGTGATGGTGCATTGCAAAGTTAAGACTTTTAAGCAGATGCACTCAGGGATTACGGTGATTTCGACTGTCGTACCTGGTGCTTTTTGGCGGAAGCCATACGCGGCTTTCAAGGGACTAGTCGTCGATTCCGTACATGCCACGTCTTTGACAAGTGTCTTTTGTAACATGTAAAGCCACTCATGTAAGGCCACTATAGGCCACCTTATCACCCACCCTCAGGTCTTAATCTCAATACTGTCAACACCTCATAAATTCTGCAAGAAGTATCCAGAAGAGACACCAAGGGGGCTCACAAGGCTTTCTCACCTACCTCTACTCGTTCGAGGCTCAATTCTCGGTTCAGCACTTTGCAGGTCTCAACTCAGCCGTCCGCACCTCATCGTGAAGAATTTGGTCTCTCCTGAGGAGGAGACCTTGCGAGACGCCTTCAGTGTGATGGGCAAGTTGCGGCTCGATATGGAAGGAGTTCCAGTTTTCAAGTCAAGCAGCTGACAAAGAGCACTCGAAAGACCACACTTCCTAAGAGACAGCAATAGCAATGCTGCTGCTTGAATGTCTCTCAGTTGCTTAGTTGCTTGAACCTTCGATAAGCAAAGGAATCGTTAGTGGCCTTGGGGATTCTTGGGGGCCTATATGGTATGTGTATCTCTATATATATGAGAATATAAATATATTATATACTGTATATATATATATATATTTAAGTGTGGGTGTGACCCATTAAGACATATATGTGTATGACATATACACAAATGGCATTTATATTGTGATATATAATATATATATAGTTATATATGTAAGCATGATCATTCGGCTTTGGCTGGGACATATCGATCGAAGAACCCTGGGCCAACATCTTCCGACCTTGCCACGTTTCCTCATTGTTAGTTGTGAGCCAGCGCAATCTTCGAAACCACGCAGTTCCTGGTCAAGACCATCAAGACCTATTTTATATAAGACCCAATCATTGGCCTCAAATCCAAAGAATCCAATCCATCAAGGCCACCCTCCCCAAGCAAAGTCTCGACTAGAATCGAGCGCCCAATCCAAAAACACGAGGAAATACGGTAAAAAATGCTTCGCACACCTGAGGCGCCGAGTAAAGATGATCTTTGAGAAAGACTGGGGCGACTTCAAACGCTGTGCGTTTCTCGCCGCTTGGAGCGGATCGCCGCAGTTCTCTCGGTGATGAGCTGACCTTTGGTAGTTTTTGGTCACCAAAGAAATCATGGTTTCATATGGTTTCCACGTGTTTCCACAACAAACTTGTGAGGGTCCTGGAACCGGCCTGAAAAAAATTGAGTGTTTTAAGATGTTTTAAGTGTTTTACGATTTATGACTTTTTGCGGGTACAGTGGCTACAAAGGACCGACATCGATGATTGAAAGTCAGAGACCTCGTGCAAACAAGCTTCATCAACCTTCCAAAGAGGATGTCTTAGCAAACGCATATACAAAAACTTATAATGTAATATATAGGGAGTGCCTGATGGGCCAATGCACTTGGATGGGCCAAGAGATGTGAACAATGAATCCAGTGAAGAGTCCTGCCAGGTGAAACCTCTTTGGTGTAGCCGATCCCGGTCTGCGAATCGTGTAGCTGAGATGATGACACGAGTTGGTGAATGTAGAGGGACTGATGCCCTTCTAGATGTTTGTGATTGTGAATGCATATAGAGAATAGAGAAGGGATTCACCGCACCTTCACACAGGGTTGGTGTAGCGTGTTTCTAGCAAGGACTTGGTCTACCATGTAGCAGACATTGGACCCGCAACTCATCCGTGGCTCCTGTCAGGGTTATGGGGTGTACACGATGGGTTTTTTGTTATCTGTGAGCATTGATTGCCAGCGTTTGGGGGTGGCCTAGATGGCGGGGAATAAAAAGCATTGCTGTCAACTTGCAGAGCCCGGACTCCCCAAACCATGCCACAGGTGAAGGTTCCAAGGTAGAGGATTCTGTGTCTTTGGGTATTGATGGAAAGGGGCATATGACCCATTATGACCCCACTTACATGATACTCAACCGGTATCCCGACCGTTCTATGCGCCACCTGAGCTGGATATATTACCATCCAGAGTTTTGGTTGTTTTAGAGGTTCCTGTGCTCGTCTTGTTCGGGCGATCACTCGGCCAAGCGCCGATGGGAGAAATCCAGCTTGCAGGAATATGAGGACGCAGAGGTGGTAGAGGATGCGATCCAAGCTTTGAACAATAGCTCCTTGATGGGCGAGTGCATCAAGGTGGAGAGGCACGATGGAAGACGCGAACAAAAAGCAGGGCTAAGCAGGGCGAAGCAGGGTAGACGTGCACGGAGTATCACGGAGTTCCCCAAATACGCATCGAGTTGTGAACCTGAAATGGAACAAGCTGGGCTTCTTCAGATACCCGACCTCTCGGGGGTGTTCATGAGACCTCTCAAGCCCGCTTGGAATGTACAGTCGTCTGAGACGATTTGGGGATTGGAAGGTCGGAAAGGAGCGAAGCGTTGAGTTGGAAGGTCGGGTTACGTCCTTTTTTTCGGGTTCGACACGCTGACTAGTTTGCTGAATTGGAATGATGTTTGAAAAGCTTTAAGGATAAAAAGAGGACGCTACTAGGGGCTCCTGGCCTTGCTACTAGGAGCAAGGATGCTACTAGGGCTTTTTTGCGAATGGAGGTATCGATCCTTGACACCTGAGCGAACACAGACCAGGTGGGCGAAGGGAGGTATCGCTCGTGGTGGGCGAATGGGGTTTCGGTGTGTGTGTGTGTGTGTGCGTGTCACCTCAAATCAAAGCCCAGCTGGGAGTGTAGGTGTTTGATCAGTTCTGTTGGCATGACTCCAGTTGTCTTGGCCTTGCATGTTCAGCTTGAATATTACAAGTCCAACAGCTGCTGAGGGTCCAGCGGAGGGCTATGGTTTTGCTATTTATTGTTTCGAATGGAAGATATAGAGTATAGATGAGCCGACGAGGGTGGAGATGCCCAAACTGGACAATGACAACCAACAAAGGAATACTGTACAAATGGAAAAAAGGGTACAGCAGAAAAGTGTAAAGGAGGTGTTTCAGGTCGGACACCAGAATGAGAGAGGGAGTATTGCTGGAAACCAGGATTTCCAAACAGACAGGGGCAATTAAGAGACTTCCCACGCGCCAAACGAGTGGCATGCGCTGACACTTTGATAAATATATATATATATATGTTTGATACACCTTATATTGAATCCATCCGAAGGAGCCCCTAATTCAGGTACTACTCCCACTGGCCTTCCTGGACCGTTAGGATTTTTTTGAAAGGCCTCCAAGAATAAGCGCCGCGAGCAATTTCTTTGGAGTATTGATCGTCACAGGAGCAGCGAGAGGCCCTCCGAGTGCTTTCGAACAGACCACAAATCCTGTAGCATATTAAAAATATCTATAAATATCCATTGGATGAGACTCCTTCTGTTCAGCAAGACTGCACAACCCCCGCAGGGTTTTGTTTTCTACATGCGCCCGCCACACAGAAAATAAGCAATCTTCCAAGAGAGTTCTGAGGCAGTTTCGATGTTATACTGTATAGTTTAGAAGTATTCAGGAAAGCGTGGCAGGGAATGTGGCAGGGCTATCAGCAGAAACGTCGAACCAGGACCAGGGGACTCAATTGATTCTCCGCCGGGCACCGCTTCAGAAGCCCTTCGCCACCAGCACAGAAGAGAAGTAAACGCAGGTGAGGGTGGGGCTGGGCTTCAGATGCAACGGAGGGTTGCCGCTCCAGGGGGGGCACCTTTTGTTACGAAGAACCATGGTCAAGGGTCCAGGCCGAGGTGTTCACCATGTTTACACCACAAGTTTCAGAAACACATGGCGATGCGGCAGGGCTAAAGAATCTTGCAGCGAAAATGAACAACACGGGGTGTCTCAAAATGATTTTTAATGCCTCTTGATGAGAGGGCATCGTTTGTCAAGCTGACCCCTAATTACTGTATTCACTTCCACGTTTGATTTTGCAAAGACTACTCACATCAGCTCAGATTTTGCTGTTCACCCATGTGCTGAAAACCAGCATGATACCTTCCAGATATTTCCAGATGCTCCTGCATGAAGGAAGACCATAGAAGATCCTGGTCAGCTCATCCGTCGCTCTGTCGGCTCCTGCTCCAGGCGCCGGGGAGGAAAAGCCGACGTGGCGGAGCGCGCGCCACCGGGGGAATGGACGCCGCCGCCGGCGTGGCCGGTGGCACCCTATCCGCCGGCCGCGCCCTATCCAGTGGCGCCTCCGGGGAGGTCAGGAGACGGAAAGAGGGCTGGGGAAACATGGGCAGAGACTGCATGAGCGTGAGATTTTTCAGATATATGTCCATTTCGGATCTCATAAAGGGGGACCACGAAAAGCAGGTGAACATTCAATGAATGGAATGAACGCCTCCACTCTTCCAACCATGTACAGTGGCATTTGGTTGGACCCTTTGCGCGTGAAAATAACCTAACTCCGCCTTGGGATGCTCTTGACATTTGCTGTTGGCATTATTAGGGTCTCCTGGCATCGCTACTAGGAGCAAGGACGCTACTAGGGGCTCCTGGCCTTACTACTAGGAACAAGAAGCTACTAGAGGCTCCTAAAGGCTCTGAAGAATTTGTTAGCCGAAGGCCGACCAGCACCTGGTCTCGACTGCCTGGAGCGGCGCCTGGAGCGGCCCGCCCCAGGCAGGGTGCGTGAAGAGTTTTGTCACCTTGTCATGAGGCATCCTGCCAAAAATAGGTCGCTTCATCTACTGTTATTGTAATATGTTTAAATCAAAAGCAACAAATACATGTGTATTATATATATATATATACATATTCGGGCTATTTTGGCCATGTGCCAGTCGTTTGGAAGTCGGTATGAGTGCAATGGTCCGCAGATCCATGAAGAAGCGGGCACATCGGGTTGTTACATGTTTTTACTATCGAATCATACTATTGATGACCATCATTATTAACTTCTTATCTATAAGATTTTTACAATATTGAAATGAAAGAACTACAGCATTCATATATTGTCATGGAAAAATCTGATAAAAGTTTGGCGCTGGTTAGGACCAGTGTCCATGTTTGGAGCAAGTCTAGTGAGTCTAGTATTATACAGTCGTTGCAACCCTAACTTGCTGAACCAAAGCCTCAAGTCTACTCCCTCTCAACTTCCGCGCGCCCACGCCGCGCGCAGTATCAAGCCCAGCTGCGCAGCTCACTTGTGGGGACCCCAAGATGCCAAGCAGAAAGGTGAAAGGACACCGAATCACCATGGTGTGACGATTGATGTCAGAAACCTCCCCCCCAGCCATTCTCACATAGTATGCTCAAAAGATCCAAAAAGGGGGGTTGGAAGTTGGGAGATGAGGACTCTTGTCCTACTAGCTTGGTCATGGTGGAACAGCAAAAATTGGCCAGAAGCTGCTTACAGTACTTAGAGGGAATCCTTGTGGCGCTGTCTTCAACCGGCCGAGACCGGGACCCGAGACCCGAGAGGTCCGTCGTCCGTCGTCCAATCGTCGTCGTCCACCAAGGCTCGAAGCACGACCGTCGGCCGTGGAGAAAAAGCGGTCGCGAGTCGTGCTTCGACCGGGTGGTTGAGGGGGATTTCCCTTGAGTATCCTTGAGTATATCATGCTTCAGTGGAATTCCTGGAGCAAATGGACTTGGTCCTGTGGCATTCAGTCCAACTATCACACTTGACGACTCTTTCGCAGTGACTAGCACGCGTTTCTACCCCCCTTTCGCGAGGCTGATGTTTGTGTTCGTTACTTTTTGTTTGGTCAAAACTAGAGACGGCAGGACTGCCGAAGGGTTGTGATACTGATCAACCTTCGAAGCACATACTTACTTACTTGCACCTTGTCATTCTTTGACTGAGCTAGTAGACATGTTGAATGGTTGGTAGGTTTTTTGAATTTTTGTCCATGCTCATCATATATATACAGGATTTCATGCCCTCACTTTGGCATCACAAATCACCCTGCCCTTGAGAAAGTGGAAGCTATGTGTATCGCAGTTGTTGTCCATCCATGTCACACCTGGTTGAAGGCATACTTGTGAGCTTCTGAGGGCCCTAAACCATTCTGTCTAAAGCTGTAGAAAACTCTCTCTAGATTATATACTCTTCTTGTTCGCCGAGGCTTGGTTTTTGACTTTGTAATCACTTTGCCGCATGCATCCGTGGATCAAGCCGCCCCGGCCGCCACCCTTGAAAAGGGCGCAGGCTCAGGGTCGCTCGTGAGGGCCGTTTAAAACGGCTCCTCGGTACCTACAGCACAGTGGAGGTAGCCCATGTACATCGTTGACCCATTTTGCCTGAACGTGTGTCCCAACAAAGTTATGACCTTTCAACCGGTTGGCAGATTCTTCTCTTCAAAGTTGTGTTTGGGTCTTGACATTTGTGTATTTGGCCCCAAAATTGTCGGTCATTTTCCCTCGCGAGGCTTGCTTTGAGCGTTGAATCATCCCGGTTTCAGGGGCCGGCACACAGCTCAACCGTTCAGCCCAAGTCAGCCATGGTGCTCGTAGAGGTGGAGAGAATCACAGGCGAGCAGCTGGAGTGCCAGATGGAAGAAGAGGACGCAGCTGGAAGAAGGGGGGATTTAACATCTTCAAAGCATTTGCACCATTGGGCCTACAAAAGGGTTTATATATAGTATTTCTATGTATGGCTATGTAGGTTTGTTATTGATGCTACTTGTGCAGTACATATGTCGTTTAGCTGCTATCTACCTATCCTATGAATTGGCTTTATTTGGTGTCGCCAGACTTCTGCAAGGGATATCTCACTTCAACAATGGAGAGCATGCATGACTGCACCCGTAGACGAGTCTAGTAGAGCAAGGACACCTTGGCAGGTTCCCCTTTCAAGCTTAACTTGCTGGCGACCACGAGGCGGATTTGAAATGATTTGACCTTTGCTTGATACCCTTTTGGGTGCAGCCACAAGGAAATCTTGTTGCCATTGTTTTTCTTTGGGGCCCTCGTAAAGATTAAAAGTCTATCTATCCCATGCTTACTTCAGAGTGCAATCAAAGCCACATCTCAGGCTTGGGCAGGCTTGTTCAGGAGCATGTCCAGTGATCTCAGTGTTGGTTTCAGGCAAGTCGCTGCAACGTTCCTTTCGGGTTTTTCACTCATGGGTTTACACGCCCCCAAGCCACAAGCGCCGTATTCTGTGGATCCAGGACACCATCCTGCGCCTCAAGCAGTCCCTCGAGCTTCTCGGGGGCGGACCACCCATGTGCAGCTCGAAGGTGTTTGGAGCATGGACTCCCAAGCAGAAGCCGACATGGAAGCCAGTGGTCCTTCCCTTTACCAACGCTGGTTGTCAGGTTTCACCTTTTCTTGAGGTTATACAAGTTATATATACATGCTTTCAGTTCCCGGCGCGCCCCTCCACCCATCCCTCAACAAGTCTTGGGCCATGTTTCACTGGTTCCAGCATAATTCCTGAGTTCCTGTAGGAATTGTTGGTTGCAATTGAATTTGCTAGTGCTCAAAAACTGTTGTTAGAAAGTGGCTCGGTTTGAGGATGGTTTGAGGGGGACTTCATTACTTCTAACTTGACATTACCTTCTGGGTGTTAGGGATTCTTGACTAGTCTAATGCAGACCCATGCGGATCTGTGTCAACAGAATGTGATGTCCTCAGGTCTTCCAGTACCTTCCAAACAGTTGAGGTTTCTTTCATGTTGAGACCGTACAAGCGAGTAGGTTAAAGATTGTTTAAACAAACTGACGCTGACCACACCACTTTCACAGGTGGTGTCCAGCCACACGACCTTTGTGTTTTCCTTCAAGCCGTCACGTCCTTGGAGGGCCGCCCTCTACACAGTAGTTGACCTGCAAAACAAAGCCGAAAGGCAAATACAAACATCCTGGATCCTGGAGGCCTTTGATGTTGGACAGGAGCAGCTTCCTGGAAGCTACAGCCCAAAAAAACGTTTGTTGCTTCCCTTTTACTTGCTGATGACTTCGTTTGCGTCTGGGGGTGTTTACTAGAGCATCAGGGACGACGCGATGACTGTCAGGGAAACACTACTCTCCCCTCACAGAAGAGCTGAACTGTAAAGCTCGAAGATTGTGCGTCCTCTTACCACCCACGTTCCAGTTTAACCTACTTCCGAAGTAAACCCACTTATGTGCTATTAAGTATTAAATTATTACATCCATTAACATCATCATCTCTGAACATCTAGATCCAGACTTCTTTGTATTGATTGATGCTCAACGCGGGCAGCAGCCAAGGCCAACGGCTACTGATGCACAATGTGGAGGGTCACCAGGCGCAGCGTTTACTGCCGGTGATGGCCCAACAGCTGCAGGAGCTTGTAGACGCTGGGCGAATCTCCCATTTCAAGAGATGTGTGGTTTGAACTGCCTGGAAGCGCCAGTGCTTCCAAAGCAGCGCCGGTGAACCAGCGCCGCTCATCCTCGCTGAGGACCAGATTGCCCCTGGCCAATTGCAGCAGCTGAGTCGCAGAGCGCTGCTGGGACGGAGAAAAACATCCAGAGCAAAAAAATACTGTACTCGCTCAGGTAGCCTTCCCCAAGCAACAAGTCATAGGTCTATCAGTTGTCGTCTGACATGAAAATGAAAGGCTTGGAGTCGATCAACTACGGCTTGCATTACCTTTAAGAGCGTGGCTTGACACCATTTGACACCACAGGTGCCGGATTTGGCCGGAGGTGAAGGAAGGCAGAAGTAAAAATAGTATAATGGTGAGGCTTTTGCATGCAGCTGCTTTTGGGTAGTTGAGGGGTCGGGTACCACTTATTATTTACTGTACTTATTTCCTTCAACAGCCTTTACTGCATGAATGTGCTTGTTGGTCTATTCCTATGATTTGTCCGTGTTTTGACTGGACCTCGTGCTGCTAATTTCTACTCTGCCTCCCAGGAACACCAAGCAAGGCATCTCTGGAGAGATTCGCCTGTGGCTTTGCTTGAACTTATCAGCCATGTTTTCTGACCAGTGCTGCTTCATCCTTTGGATCAAGAAAATGACCAGCAGTTGTGCTACAGCAGCCCCAAAACCTTGCACAACAGGTTCACTTTCTGAATATGTGCCCCAGAACTGGGGCATCGAGATGCTCACATGGTTTGGGCGGTCTTGTGGGAGGCGGTCAAATATTTTACCATGTTTTGCCGCTGTGGCTCATCCTCCTCATCATCACCCGCTGGCCATGTGTTTTGGGATCGGCCCTGCCACATGCTCCGGCCCACCCAAAACAGAGAGGCCTTACTGTCAGGTGCCTGGAGACCAGCGCGCACTTGTTGGCCAGAAGCCCTCATTGGCTGCTTGGCCAGGTGTGTCGATGAAACTGGTTTTAGGATGTTTTAGGAACTCTGTTTGGCTTCAGGCCTTTGGCCAAGTGGAAGTGAGAGGATCCAAACTAAAGAAGTTAAATTAAGATATCCTAAGCACAGAAAGGGTTTTGGAAGAGGCCCATTTTTCTATTTATCAAATAGGTGTTAGCCTTAGACTTCTAGACCCTATTCTGAACTTCCACAAGCATTCTTTTTCAATCATGGCTTGCTGGTGAGGAGGATGGTTATCTAGAAGCAGTCCCCTTTCGGATGCCCAAACCCAGAGAAAGGGTACATAGTTTATAAAATGATGTTCTTCTTGAACAAACGCGTCTAATGCCAACATTAAAAAAAAAACAATATATAAACAGACATAAACAACAATAACATCAATAAACAACACACAAACATTGAGATCCTTCAAGTTGGTAATGTAACATGGTTTTGTGGTGTTTTGTGATGTTTTGTGCACGCATGTGCGCGCAATATAGGCAAAGGCACTGAACTCTCTCAGGCACTCGAAGGCCCAGCTTGGTCCGTGCAGATTCACTGGACTGTATCCACTTAGACATCCGCGAGCCACGCTGCCCAGCAAACATTCCATCTTCTGCCAGGCGGATCTCTTTGAGCTGCATCTCCAAGGTCCTCCGTATCAAAAGATGAGAGAATATGGCTTTATAGAAACAAATCTCTATGAAAGGCCGTGACGGACAGGGACCGCAAGTCGCGCTATAGAAACAAATCTACCAGGTTTCCCGTGACAGAATATGAGATAATCTGAGCAATATCATGTTATAAACATGATGGTTTTACATGTTATAGAGAATTAATGCCTTGCAGATCTTTTTTTTATAGCACCTACTCAAATGTAATCTACCACCCAATATGTATCAAGATGTATCAAGTAAGGGGGATCAAATCACCAAGACTGTTAAAATCATTCAATATCTATCCCATGATTACTAAACAACTGAGCAGCTGATGCCAGTTGAGACGGCGGGATCTGCGGCGCACCACCTCTGCTCTCTTAAGAAACCTCGAGTCCATGCCGGCTTCTCCACAACGTAGGTAGACGCAGAGTCCGAAAATGCCGCTCCACAAGTCTTTTCCTCCCACTGCCTCTCTCAGTGTGCCCGGCAGGCCATTTGTCTTGAAAGGCTTCGCTGTGGAATCTGCTGACAGTTTGGTCAGTTCCGGAAACTCTGGAAGCTCACTGTCACATTCCTGTGGGGCCATGTAGGAATCCACCTGCACCGGGTCATCTTTGCATACTCCTCTGAAGCAATGTCCTCAATGTGAGTGAGAACATGTTCCAGCCCTTTCACCGAAGACTCATTTTGGAGCGCTTGCTGGTGCTCTGCCATGGTTTCCTCCAACAATGGGTCTTCCAACTCGTCTGACTCGTCTGGGTTGTCAAGAAGGAAGGTTTCAGCAGTCTCACAAGAATACATTCGTTGAAGGTCCTGTTCCGGAAGGCCACTGCATTTGGAAACCAGGTGGATGGCTGAAGTCAAAGCTGAAATAGCACATGTCTTCAACCTTGGCTGAGTCATACACAAACTGTTGATACATTGGGCTTGTAGATTACAATCTATTTAACAAGCAGGTGCTATAAAATGATCTACAAGGCATAGTTCTCTATAAAATGATAAAAACATATTAAACAGTCATGTTTTACAATAAAGTCATTGTGTTTTATAAAATGTAGCTGACGTCAAGAATCCCTACAGCAATCCATAAACTCTGTGTATAAGCAGTTTATAAACAATCAATTAAAGGTTGTTCAATTGACAACCATCACCAGATAGGGTTTATAAAATGTAGTTGGCAACCAACCCGTCCAGCAAATCAAAACATATTCCATTAATTCATTTCATAAAAGAACAAATAGACATAAATAGACTATCTTGATATATCCTGATCTATCACGATCTATCTTGATAAACTTTTGATAACTTTTGTAAACAGTCCACCCATGTCCACCAAATGTCTGTCAAAGGCAGCGACAAAACTGCAAACAAAGCGGCTGCTTTGTTGTCAGCGTGTCCTCCTGCGCAGGCTTGGTCTTATACTTTTTGGATTGTCGTGCCTTAGAACGGGCTACAAGGGCTGCAGCATTGAAGTATCCCCTGGCCGTCAGGTCACTGTTGCTGCTTTGTCCTCGAAGTTCTCCAAAGTAGTGCTCTATACGAGTCTCCGATAGCCCCTGCTCTTGCCGCCATGGTTGCCAACCGTCCGGCTTCGTTGCGGTCATGAGCACAACTATTCAGGCAATGCCTTGCAATGCCTGACGTGTTTGAGGAGCCATCTGAAGCTTGCCATGCCCCAAGCCCCCCTTTCTTCTCTTGCTCAGTGGCGAGCAAAGCAAGCTCCACAAATCCAAGCACGCAAAGCCGCTGAGCGCTAACTCAGCCCGTTGTTCCAAGCTCAGTGCCTGGTGAAGCGCAGGTGCCTTACTCTGTCCGCTCTCTCCCACTGCAGGGCCAAATGAGGGTACGAAAGGAAAACTCCAACTTTTGTGTGCATGGGCTGACAGTAGGCGAGTGTAGAGCAGGTGGACATGCAAAGCTGGAGCAGATCACACTGTCAGATGACGAACGAGAGAGAGAGAGAGACGGAGAGAGAGGTGGACATGCCCAGCTGTTCGCCATGCATGTATTTGCGAGTTTCCCACACTTTGCACCCCTTAGATCCATCAGATGGGTCCTCGTCAGGTTCCCCCCAATGAAAAAGCCATCCAACGCCCTGAACTGTCCGCAGCTGCAGCTGAGGACAGCTGCTGGTGAGAAAGCTTTCAAGATGGAGATGGCTGGGAGGCCTTTGGACACCAGCCTGCCCGAGTGCGTGAAGATGTGTTCCCAGCCCCAGAGCTTCATCGCGGCTCGGAGAGAGTGGGGCAACTCGGAGAGGGTGGGGTATACTAGTAGCAGGAATCCAGTCGGCACCTGAGAATCAGGTGACATGACACCTGAATCATGGCACCTTCAGGGCCCGGAGGGGCGCAAGAACCACTTTCTTGACTGCAAGTTGAGCACATATGGAACATGATGGAGCCTCGCAAAGGAAGACCTCATTTTCCTTCGCTGCATTGTAGTCCATTCCTTGCCAGGAGAGACAGGGCAAATCATTTTAGCCGCAGGAGATTCTTTGTGAATTAATGTGATATAATGTGATATATGTGTTAAGTCATTAATATAGTCATTGTTCATGGACAAGGTCACCTCACCACAATAGATGATCCCTAAGAGTAATCGAGTAAAGGCAGCACCTGAAGTCTTAAATCAGGGACTGCAGCACACTTGAGGCGGCCATGTCTGGCTTTGTGGAGGATGTGGCCAGGGGCTGGGTGCTCGAAGAGGAGATTCTGGAAGCGGAGCAATGCGTGGAAGTGAATTGGTCGCTGCAAGATTTGGATGGTGGTGAGTGAAAAGTGAAAAGTGACTATATATATAATCATATATTTCTTATATATATATATATACATGTATGTATAAATATATATATATACATAGCACAGTGCACCTCAAAAACACCGTGGTTGACCCTTTAAAAAGAAGAGAATGGACTAGCAGTCTCAGACTAGCGTGACCTATCTCATGGTTTGGGGAGTTCGGATCCACCGCCTGGCAGCATCGCGAAGTTGAATGGCTGGAACGTGTGTGATCCGCGGACGGTGCAGATGTGGCAGGCTTCATTTGAGACAGGACGCATGGTGACCCACAGCTAAGCGCTGCAAGACCTTGTCCACCTGTAAGGTTGGTGGAGGGACCAGCCAAAAAAGGTGACGTTTTGAAGACAGCTTAGCATCTAACAAGGGCCATGGGGATCTTCAGGTCACCACCGACGACGGTCCTTTCGGATGCATCGGGGTCCCTTCCGTTGGCCCAGGTGATGTCCGGTCTGGAAGAGGCCGATAAAGACGGCCACTTGGTCTTGGGTGGTGGGTCGCAACCCTTATTTGAAGATGATTGCGACATGTTCCGACTTGACCAGATCTAGGTGGCTTCGGGATAAAGGTTCAGTGACTGCCATGTGTAAAACCGTTGCTTGGAGAAGTGGAGTTGCAACAGGTGGATTTGATCAAGGTTTTTCGTGACGGTCTGGCTAGCGGCTACCGCCTACACTCTCCGTCCAAATGAAACAGTGCTGCAGGCTTGGCAAAGCAACACTTTGCTGCGCCACGCAGTCTTGAGACAGCCTCCAAGCAAATCCCATTGATTGGTACTGATTGCACTTTTGACACCCACTTAGCAAAACGATGCAATGATGAAAAGCACTGAAATGCACTAGTATTTCATGTTAAAAGATATATATTTTTTAATGTATCTATAGTTATATATAATATACATACGGGAAAGCAGCAATGCTTTGCGAGTGCTGCAAAGGCCAAAGAGCGAGCAGCATACGACACAACAGGAGGCCCTCACCTGCAATTTGGGAATGCCCATGCAAGTTACTGTATACATGAGAACGAATTTGCTTTTTCCACACCGCCTTTGAATTGAAGAGTTGACGTTTCGTGGGTCGCTGGCCTCACCAGGCACAAGAAGGTCGCTGGATCCTGTAGTGTGCCGTATTCGGGATTGGACTATCCGAGCAATCCGCTGCTTGGAAGCCAATGCAAGCCACGTGAAATGAATTACAATTATGAGGCTTTCTGACAGGTTTGGCATGATGCCGCAATCACTTGAGACTACTGGAGATACCTTCGTATTGGCTTTGCATGAATTGCGTTGTGTGGTGCATCATGCTGGAGCCCTATCATTTGTTTGAGGCTATTATCGGGAATTTCGCCAGATGCAGGAAGGGGCGGTATCATTGGAAACTTGGATTTGGCAGATTCCGTTGGTGCATGATGATTCCTTTCAAACTGAAGACGGGGTCTCAAGGCGCTCATGTTTGAGAAACCCAAGATCATGACACCTCATTGAGCGTTGTTGTACCTTTCAATCTTGTCGGGCACCAACCTGCACTGCGGCCGAGCAAGAAGCCCCTCCTGGTGACACTGCTCGGCTTGAAGCGGCCTTTGTGTTTGAGGAACTCCTGGACCAAATCAACTTGGCTCTTTATGCTGAAGTGGCTGCGGTGGGTGGCTCCTCATTGAAAATATCTTTGTTGACCGATCTGGAGCCACTTGATTGAGATGCTTGCTTGGGGGAACACATTAGGGGCAGGTGTATGTAGATGAGTTGGGGGTTGTTCGGGAATCAAACACCAGTGGAAGATAGTGGCAGTTTGTTGAATTGGGAGGCGTGAAGTAAAGCAACGGCACAGTTACAACTGCTGCGGGCAGTGTTCCGCAGACCGCGTCGCTTGCCAAAACGTCTAGTAGTTGGAATGCTCGAGGATGGTGATAGTGATGCCAAAAGGGTCAGTTGTCATTGCAAAAGCATTGACTTCAGACAATGGACATGGGAAAGCGAGGGATCATATGCATTTTCTGACGAGGTCCTTTTCGAAGACCCAGCTCTTTGGAGATGGGGCGATTCTTTACAAAATGGGCGATTTGTTGGGAAAACACCGTGTTTTGTAGGGGCGAAGAGGGGGCCGATGGTCTGCTGCTTTCCGCCTCTTGGGCCGATGGTCGGCTGTTCCGGCCGGCCTCGGATCCACCGAGGCCGGCGTTGCAAGCGCTGGAGAAGGGCTCAGGTGACACGCTGCTGGGATGGTCACAGTATTCGAAAGCGCGCCCTCTATAGCTGATCTTCCTCCAAAATGACCAATGAGAGAAATGTTGGATCCTGAATCCCTGTGCAAATTTCCCTCTAAAGAATAGGACAGCCCGGGTTCGAGAGCGAATTGGAAGGGGGACGATCCTGATGAGTGAAAGGGATCCCCCTGGCAGGCACTACTTCGTCCAGTACTGTAGCCGTTCGCAGGCACCATGCTACATGCAGGCACCACTGTCCGTTCCAGCACTGCGGGCCGTGCTCGTTGATCTTTCAGGCATGCATTCCGGGCAGCATGCACCCAAATTCCAGAGAAAACTAAGTTGAATGTAGAACAATAATTTGATTATGGCAAGCCTCAAAGACAGGAGAACTTGGGATTGGCTCGCTCCGCATTGCCTAGCGAACCTAGAACCTGACATTTTGTCGGTCCTTGGATGAGAACCTGGCTCTCCAGGAAATACTGGAAAAGCCCTGGTTATTGTGTAAAACCTTAATTTTGATTGAACTGATCCCTTTCTCCATCTTCCATCACTTCATGATCTTGTCTCGCTCACCTCCATGAGGTCCGAAGCCATCCGGGCTTTGGGCGTCTTGGGCGCCAAGAGCCCCGAGAAGGCCTTGAAGCTCCTGGCAGCGCTGCTGGGTGAGAGGGAGGTCCTGGCGAACAGGGTTGTTTAGTGCCTGACGGTGAAGGAAGTTCATCTATCAACAGTGATCAACCAAAATGGGGCTATCAAATGCTATCAATTCATTTTGCAACCTGTGAACCCTTTGATGGGTTAATAGCGCATTTTGCGACTGGCCGATCGACGGCCTCTCAGGAAGTTGTCGCATCCAGCGACTGCGATGGAGGCGGAGGAGGTGGAAGGGCTCGGTCCGTGGGGAGAACGGCGGAAGGGCTCTCGGACTCCTCCAGTACTCTTCAGTGCCGCAGGAGCATGATTTGGGGATTTGCAGCGCTTGCGCTGTTGCTCGTTCTCGCTGTTCTCGTAGCATGCATCATGGTCAGAAAGGACCCACGTGGTTGAGGAGTTCATTCTTATCAAAGCGTCTCAAGTTTTGGAGGGGCTTCACAGGTGTGAAAAAACGTAAACCCAAGTGTGCACACGATTTAGCGGCTGAAAACACCTGGAATCCCATTGGGTGTGCGGTGTGCATTATTCAAATGCAAATCCAAAGGCCCGGTTCTTTTTTCACCCCACCCATTGCTTGCACATCTCAGGCCATCACCTCTGCCTGGAAGCAAGGCAGGGAAACGAAGGAAGACGGTTGTCGTTGCATCAAATCGGATTTCGAGTCTCGGCAGTATGAGATCCCTTCAGCAGAGTTGCTTTATATAGGTTGGAGGTCATCGCTACTAGGTTGGAGTTGCTTTATATAATTTTATATACAGTTTTATCCAATAATCCAATATTCTTTCCTCTCATGTTGTTGTCGAACCTCAGTTACCTCCACCATCTACAGCTTAACAAGTGAAGATTTGTTCTAATGGCACTGCCACTGGAGGGTGTACTCAAGATGCTTGGTCAGGATATGCGACTGCCTCTTGTTTTTTTCATGCAGGTTGAGATCTAGGGAGTTTGTCCTGACTTATTTACTGCCCATTGGTCTAATTATGTAATGTCTGATTAATTGTTTCACATAATTGGGTTAAAAATATCTAGACGTTGTGTATATTCAAGTGTTGAAATGAAAGAAGCCCTGTATCAAAGAAAATAAATTGTATAATATTTGTGTCAGATTGTGTCATGTTGTATCGGACATTCCCTGGCCTGAAAATTTCCAGCCGCGGGTCCCAAAACAGACCTTCAAGTGGTTTTCAGCTTTGCCACTCTCCAGGTGACGATGCTGCGGTCACGTTGCTGCTGGACTCTCTCCCTGAGCTCCCCCACGGCACTCCGAACTGCCGCTCCAGCGCGGTGAGGGCCTTGCTCCATTTGGGGCCCAAGCACCAGTTGGTGCTGCACAGGAGAGGTTACACGGAGGGTGCCACACGGAACTTCACTGAAGAGTGTACCGGCGTCCCAGGTTCTTTGGGTCTCGAACCACCATTCTCCCTCCTTTGTGATCGATTTTAGTTGTATAGATTGGGTTGTTCATGTAGGTCAAGGTTTGCGTGCCAGCCACCACTGTCCACGACAAGAATGACTATGTATACAATTAATTACGTATGTATAATGTATATTTGTGAATTTTGTAGGACTGGCCTTCGCACTATGGTCACTATGGTGTGTAGGGCTCTTCATTGGTGGTGTTCACATCTTAGACCGGATCTACAGAAGGTCCAAGTGGCTAAGGCTTAGGATGCTTCGGTGCCCACTCAATCACCCACGGAACAGCGAAGCTTTTGGTGGAAGAACGCATGAACGGTCAATGAGTTCCATTCACGGTCCAAGAGCCTGGAGAGTTCGGTCGGCTCAGACCAACCCACGAGGGTGGAAACCAGTCACAAAACAACGACAGACTGTTTGTGCCGTGAACGCTCGGTGGGCATCACAGAGCAAATCATGTGGCTCTTTGCAACATTAGGAACAATAAGATACTAGGAACAAGTGCATCGCTTCTAGTAACAAGTGCCTTACTACTAGTAGTAACAATGTTTGCTATTAGATTCAAACAAGATGGAGCCCACGAACCCGAATGCAAACACGATCGAGAAGCTATATACATATGTCCAAATGACACTCTTGTAGGACACTCTTGTAGGACACTCTTGTGGGACACTCTTGTAGGAAACTCTTGTGGGTCACTCTTGTAGGACACTCTTGTGGAACACTCTTACAAGACACTCTTATGGGACACTCTCTTGTGAGACACTCTTGTAGGAAACTCTTGTGGGACACTCTTGTGTGACACTCTTGTAGGAAACTCTTGTGGGTCACTCTTGTGGGACACTCTCATAGGACACTCTTGTAGGACACTCCTTGTGGGACACTCTTGTCGGACATTCTTGTGGGACACTCTTATAGGACACTCTTGTGGGTCACTCTTATGGGACACTCTTGTCGGACATGCTTGTGGGACACTCTTGTGAGACACTCTTGCAGGACACTCTTGTGGAGCACTCTTGTGGGACACTCTTGTGGGACGCTCTTGTAGGTAACTCTTGTGGGACACTCTTGTAGGACACTCTTGTGTGACACTCTTGTGGGACACTCTTGTGGGACACTCTTGTAGGACACTCTTGTGAGACACTCTTGTAGGACACTCTTGTGGGACACTCTTGTGGGACACTCTTGTGGGACGCTCTTGTAGGACACTCTTGTGGGACACTTGTTGTGGGACACTCTTGTGGGACACTCTTGTAGGACACTCTTGGGGGACACTCTTGTAGGAAAATCTTATGGGACACTCTGTTGTGAGACACTCTTGTAGGAAACTCTTGTGGGACACTCTTGTAGGACACTCTTGCGGGACACTCTTATAGGACACTCTTGCGGGACACTCTTCTGGGACACTCTTGTAGGACACTCTTGTGGGACACTCTTGTAGGACACTCTTGTGGGACACTAGAAGCAGTCCTGCGAGCGTTTCGTACCAGACGTCCTCCAAAAGTCACGCTTCGAGGCTGCAAGACGAGCGTTTCGTACGAGACTTCCTCCAAAA